GTTAGGCTCCACGTTTTGCTCTATCTTGCCTTGGGTTCTTATACTCAACCCTATGACCGGCGTCTCCAGTGTAATGGTTAGGCTCCACGTTTTGCTCTATCTTGCCTTGGGTTCTTATACTCAACCCTATGACCGGCGTCTCCAGTGTAATGGTTAGGCTCCACGTTTTGCTCTATCTTGCCTTGGGTTCTTATACTCATCCCTATGACCGGCGTCTCCAGTGTAATGGTTAGGCTCCACGTCCCTGCACACGGGAGACGTTTGTGGGTGGTTGGTGGGTGCTCTGGTATGGTTTGTTCCGACCTTCCTATCAAACGTTTATCACCCTTATTTGCCCTTCTTTTCTAGGCATGTCAGGGTCCATATGTCGCTCTCTTGTAACGCCTCTAATCTTCGGCATATACTTGACCCAATAAGTGAGTTGCAAGTGCCGTAGAAGTGACTAAAATCAAGGAGACGTGAGCTTGATTCCTGCTTAGGGCGTTATTTTATCTTGCGTTTCCGTCTTTCTGCTGGGATGTTGTGTCCCCTTCAGAACGGGTTGCGGGTGGCTGCAGGGCGCCACTGATAGGTCATACTTCTTCACTTTCCCTCTGTTGTTTCTGTGTCTTACTTTTTCCCCCAGCACTAAGTGACCATTGTGGTGTCGATGTACTTCTGTTGACTCAAAAAAAAAATCAAAACGGTTGACCTTCTCTGGCAGCCCGCTTCTTAAATGGGTTAGATGGTTTCAATGGAGTCGTATAACGTTCACAGGATACTAGATTGTATCTGCCCAGTGCCTAGTTCAGAATTTGACGTAAAAGATTTTGCGTTTCACATGATGTCAAGCTTTTTCGAAAGCAATTCCGTGAGTATCTTGATAACGGCTCCGAATAACCTTACGGTTTTGATAGAGCAGATAGAACATTATTTTGGTTTCTAACCTCTTGGTTATAGTAACTCAAAATAGCCAAAAATGCCAGGCAGAACTGTAATTCTAAGGTAGCGACTGGGCGTCCCCCATTCGGAACTTATTTGATCTACTACGCACATTCGGGGTCTCCACTCATCGTGAGGCCTCATTTTGGGTCGCTGTGACGTCATGCAAGAAAGGCTATAGTTTTCATTTCGCATCATAATGTTAATTTTATAAGAAGGAAGGATGGAAGTGGGGTTTTGTCTGTTTATGGTCAAACCAATGTCAGCAGGTGGTTGGTGGGTGCTCTGGTTTGATTTGCTCCTTCTTTCCTATCAAACATCTATCGTCCTTATCTCTCTTCCTCCTTTTTTGTGTACTATGTTACTCTCTTGTAACACATCTATTCTTCGGCACTTATATGACCTTATTGTGTTGCAAGTGCCGTAAAACTCTTACTAAAACAAACTTTAATCGTCGACACTTATTATTGACCTTATTGTGTTGCAAGTTCCGTAAAACTAACCAAAACTAAAAAAACCGATGTCGTGTATGCTCCGCAGATTTCGTGCAGATATAGTGAACATAATATTGTTGTGTATAACATAATGGCAACCCTTTCTTCGAGAGTGTGTGACTGCTTTTGCGTTATGAATATATGCGTGTGTGAATAATCTTTTGTGAAACATCTGGTTCTGGTTGCTATTTGAACATAATATTATGCTTGTTAGTGCAAGCTGAATGCGGTACTCGTAAGTATTATGGTTACCAATTAAATTGTGTAAGTTTTCTTTCTTTCTTTCTCTTTCTTTCTTTTTCTTTCTTTCTTTCTTTCTTTCTTTCTTTCTTTCTTTCTTTCTTTCTTTCTTTCTTATGTGCTTTCTTTCGTGCTTTCTTGCACTTTCGTGCTTTCTTTCTTTTGTGCTTTCTTTCTTTCTTTAATTATTTCTTTCATTCTTTCTTTCATCATTTTTTAAAATCTCGTGAGTTTTTCTCTTATAATTTGTGGACAGTGAGAGAATACTGAGCTTTATCCCTCTTGCCCAAGCTTCAATCCTTCGCTTTAAATGCCTTTGTACTTTCCCATTTCCTTACACCAGATTTTCATAAACGTTATTTTATCGCGTTTTGCTTTTTTGATCCCGAGAAATAAACGCATTTCTCTATTTATTAGGTTCACATATATTGATAATTATCATTATCAAATTTTAATAATACTAAATTAGTTGATTAAAGTTCTTTTTCATTACTTTTTTAAACGACATGTTCTTAAAAGTAAGTTATCTTGCCACCCCCCCCCTCCCCCTCCCTCTCCCCGCGGGTGGTTGGAGTCACTCTTGCAGACTCTGCTTCTTTCTCCCCCTTTTTGAGGTTTCTGTCTGTGTGTCTTGTTTTCCCCTTCCCCGAAATGATCATTATAGTATTGATATACATCTTTTTACAGCAAGGTTTTCTTTCCATAATATCGTCTCGTTATTTCTTACGTTTTTGCCGGTCACGTTCGGACCGTTTAGGACAAGGGATCCAAAAATAAATCTTTTGTTTCGGTATCCTCGGTTAAGGGGGTACAAAGCGGGCCACTTTCTACACAGGCTTGCCTTGAGGCACACCTGAATACATGTACAATGTATATGACATGGACCCGGTCTGTACATGACCTGTACACGACCTGCACGTGCCCCGTTCTCGCCGAGCACCGTTTGCACAGCCCGGATCCAGGTCAAAGAGTTGTCCTGTGCCTGTGAGGGTTCTAACTCTCTGCCTGTACCTGTGCCTGGCCTGAACACCGCCCGCTTGAATTCTGTCACCGCCTGAAAATTTGGCGAGGCCGTCGCAGGCCGATGTTGTGTGTACGCGCATATTATTCTCAACTTGCCCTGAGCTCAGGTCAAGCGTTCCGCGTGTCACCCGTCGCCTTTATCTACTAAGAGTAAACCATAACGTCACGGACAAGAGACCGCATTATTCTCTAGTTTATTGAAATTTGCGGGAGCTATGAATGTCTCTGGAAAAGGAAATCTTAAGGGCTACAATTACAAAATCGTGAAGGGTTAGGCCTATGAAAAACGGGTCTATTTTTGGTGGGTGCTCTGGTGTGGTTTGCTCCTTCTTGCCTATCAAACATCTGTCGCACTTATCTATCCTCCTTGTTCTTTTGTGTTTGTTACTCCCATGTGCCACCTCTAATCTTCGGCACTTATATGACCTAATTGTGTTGCAAGTGCTGTAAAATGATTACTAAAACAAAAACAAATACTTGGAGCTTCTTTTGCTGATCTTAGAAAGCATACTTCGCTTTTTTCAAGTTCTTTCGGGACACTTTCATGTGTTCTTTTAACGTGTCCATTTGAATTGAATCCTTCTACTGTAAGACCATTTTCATGCTGCTTGGATTCTGTTATTGTCTTCCGTATTGTTCATGCCTCAGTCCCATACACGGAACTGTTGGCCATGTCAGACTTTCCGAAATTCTAACTTTATGTACTCTGGGTACTCCGCCGTATTTCCAGTTCCATAGGTTGTTTAGTTTTACCATCTATTGTTTTGCTATGCCTTTTCGTACAGACTTATTGCATGCTCCGTCCACTGTTTCCATTGGACCTAAGTATTTGAAGTCTGTTATATTATTTTCCAGCTCTACTCCTTTTTTCTTATCAGTTAATGGCTTTGACTTCGTATTACTGTAAAGTGCATGACTTCAGTATTTTTAGCGTACAATTTCATCCCTTCGTTATTGCCTGCAGCATCGACTCTACGTAAGATCCTTCTTCTCATGCTCACGATGTTGTCACCGCCAGTAGGCCAACGGTTGTGTTGTCGGCTTACCGTAGATTAGCGATGCCCCCGCCTCCATTTTGGACACCCCATGTAATCTTTGATTCTCTTATGATCTGATCTCCATAAATGTTGAAAAGATGGGGTTAGAGGATACAGCCTTGTCCAAGTCCTTTTTTTAAAAAAAAGGAAGAATTTATGTTCTGAAGAATATTTTTGTATAATTTTATTCGTATTTGTCCATAGTTTATCATGCGTTGGGCTTTGGCATGGTGCGGGAGTGAACACTTTTCCCCACAGTGTAAATGTCCTGGGTTTGATCCCTGAAGTCCTCCAAAGGATTAGTCTTCATATAACATCTGATATAGAAACCGTTGTCTTTGCTGCAGAGGTTAGCACTGTGCCATAGCAGGCAAAAGACGTGAGTTTGATTCCCACACAAGGAGTTTTTAAAATAAATTTTAAATCCAGTATCTTTGCCTGTCTGCTGGGAAGTTGTATCTCTCTCAGCCGGGTTTGGCCCTGATAGGCAAGGTTGAAGCATCCTGCCTCCTAAATGATCTAAATATGTTGCTTGGAGTGCAATACATCTACAGTTATAATATCACAGTCTGATATGTGCTCAGTTTGGTCACAGTTGGATGACTCAAAGGAGATATCACCTCTCCAGTATCGGAACAGGGCTGAAAAAGGGGGTAGGCTAGTAACATTTTCTCAAAATAAGTAGTTTGTTGTTCTTAGTCAGTAGTTTGAGGGTGCTAATGGTAGGTCTATTTCTTCTCTTGCCCAGTTGTTTCTGGCCATCTCACTGTTTTCTGCACTAAACGACATTATGTTGCATGCTTCTCTTTGCTTAAACTATATTTGCAGATGGGAAGCACAATGTAGGTGCTGTGTCTTTCCAATAAAAAAAGCAGGCTTGGAATACTTTCAAAACTAAATGTTTTTAATCTGATGTAGATTCACAACATTTTTTTTCTTTTATCTATTCCCACCCAACACCACCACCTTTTTTTACCCCAAACCTCTCTCCCCTGGAATCTTGAATGTTCTACAAAAGAAACGGAACTTGTTCTTCAAAGACGGCACGCGGCGCATTGACTTTATCCTTTCTTGGAGCACGGAGGTCACCAAGAAGTCTGCACAGGCCATCCAGGCTCGGAAGATCTTTGAGGAGAACCTGCAGAAGGAGGGCTTGCAGCTGGAGTATGACCTGGTCAGTGTATAAAGTGTTCGTCCATCAGCTGTTCTGATGTACTAAGCCCAGAATTTTGAAAAAAAATTAATTAAAAATAGCAGTTTCTTTTTCTTTGGTATTGGTTGCATGTGCCCAAGAAATATTTTGTGGAAATTTAAATTGTAAATGTTTAAGAAAAACAAGGGAAAAATACACAGTGTTGGTGCATTTGTTGAAAGAATGAAAAGTTTTTTCCTCTCTTCTAAAGAGTTTGCTTTTGGGGCCTAGTATATTTGAACAGCTTGCTGACATTTTGCTTCATGGTTGGTGGCTCCCACTCGCCCAATGGACGCACTGTCGATTTAGTTGATATCATGTTGGGTCATGGTGTGGATGGCCCTGGTTCGAATCCCAGACAGGACATTTTTAAAGAAATGGTTGTAGGGGGGGGGGAGTTTCCAAGGCTCTCTGCTGTCTGCTTGGATTGATCCCATGGGTGAAGAAAGGATGTTGAATTCGGCCGTCACACCTTAAAAATATAGCCGTATGGTTTTGGAAGGGGCATTGAGCTTAGATGAAATGACGTCTGTGGTATGTGGCATTAAGTGCTGCTGCATCACATGCAGAAGACATGAGTTCACTGCCCATGTGGGGAGATTTTTATGGAGTATATCGGTCTATTCTGCTTGGACATTGTAATCCTCTCAGCCTGGATTGGCTGTGACTGGCAGGGAAAACAGCTTGCCTCCTAAAGGACTGAAGTTGTGTTGAAAAAAAAATCCAGACATTTACCAATTAACCTCACCCACTTGTACGTCTATAGAAATATTGTGTGAAGCAGGAAGCAAAGTACAAAAATTAGCAACAGAAGATAATATGAGTGTATTTAAAAGTATGTACAAATGAACATTCATCTATGTAACTGTTATTTCACCAAGATGAATGAAACACAATGTTCATCGGAGCAAAAGTATGAATCCAAAGGTGAGTGTTTTACCTGTTATATCGGTGATTTTTAAATTACCTGTCCCGTGTTTCACCTTTAAGTATATGTAAGCTTAGGCATAGGGGCTTTGGTTTAACACCACCAAGTGCTATAGAACCTGTGTAGCGTTGAGGGTTGTTTTTTTTTAATGTGTAATTTAGAGGCAATGCTTGACTCTGCCTTGCATGTGTATATTTTTTGGGCCTATTTCATAGGGCACTGTAGTAAAAAAAAAAAAAATTAAAAAAAAAAGAGGGAAGGATAAAGAAATATAGAGAAATCAATACAGTGTACTTTGTGAAATTTTTGTTCATCTTTAATTTTGTTTTTTACAGAGTGGGAAGGAAACTCAGTTTGTCAAAGTACATGCGCCTTTTGAGGTCCTGAGGAGGTATGCCGACATTCTAAAGATGAGGATGCCTATGAAAGAGGTAGGCCAAACAGATTGTTGTTATGTGTCTCTTATGCTCCCTTTAGTTGTGAAGTGGAAAAATTTTAATGAATAGAGATACCTTTGAGTGTTCTTTTTAGTCTGTTTTCATTCCTGAGTGTAGCCTGTCTTGTGATATATCGTAGTAAAGTTTGCATTACAGTCTCTGTGTGTTAAGATGTTGTGTGACGTTTTACATCGTCGTGTGTTGGGTGGAAAGTAGGTACAGTGTTTTATTCAATGCCTTTATGAGAATGCAAATAGACAGTACGCCAAAGATGGTTTACACTTCTTTGCTTTGTTTCTATCATTGTGTTTTCTCCTTTTTTTGGGGTACTTGAGTGTTTTTTTGTGGTGATGTGAGTCAGTTGTAGTTTATTGTCTAAGTCTTGTCTTTTGTTGAAGATTTTGAAGGTATTTTCTGTTAATGAGTGAAAATATGTTTGTTCTTTTGTTTGATGGGTGGTTAGTAGGCTTTGTCTTCAGGAGGGTATTTAGTAAAACTTATTTTCTTTGCCCTGTTTAAACTGGGATAAAACCCGGATCTGTGAGACTTTATAGACTTTGAAGGAACTGTAGAAAGAACACTTTATAGTCTGAATGGAATGTAAATGCATGGTTTTTAAGGATGTTAGAAGGCTCAGTAGCTTATGAAATGGCTTGTAGTAAGTTTGACTTAGTCTGGCATTAGATTCTGTGGGTGGTTTGGCTTCTGGTACGAGTAAGATCTAGTAACCCTGTTGTTAGAATGTGGGTGGTAGACGACTGTTTTTGCTCATGGGGTCTACTCATCTTATTGTCGTATATCTAAATTGACACAGACGGAAGGACAATAATTTGTCTGAGATTCAGTTCCAAGGGCTTGTCACAGAGCCTGCGAATGTCAGTGCCCGTTTCCTTCAACTGCTGAACGTTTGCTGTATATTTGTAGAAAGATAGTCACAGTTGAACGCATTCAATTCTTTCCAGTCAAATTCTTCTTGGTTTTCGGAATAAAAAAACAGATGATTTGGAACTATGCATCAACTTTTGTCATATTTGTGATGCATTGAAACAAGTCCTTTCTTGAAACTTGAACAATTTATTTTAATTGAAAATACTTTTGGTGACTATAAGGAATCTGTGTCATTCTCAACAGAGTTAATTCTGACCTGCATAGTTACCTTGGCATTTCAAGCTTTGTTGCTTCTTTTTGTGATAGATACCTGGTTATGGGTTAATCGTTATCCCCTTAAGGAGTGTTACATATTGGTTATTGGTTGGGGAAATTGAGCTAACCCTTTGAATTTTTTTGTTGATTTTTTTGCTTTATAATGTAGTGGAGCAGTGGATATGGTGTTTTTGAATTGCTTCCTCCTCTCAAAGAACGGTGACTATTAACCTTTCTATTTGAAGTAGTTTTGTTCTATTTTTGCATGGTGTTATGTTTAGTTTGACCCTGAAAACAAGTTGAGTTGGAGTTTGAACTGTCTTATGACTCTCTATCCATACACTGACTTCAGTGTACATGTTCTTGCTCTTTTACCACTCGCACTTTTCAATTGAAGCCTATTTTTCTTTTTTATGTTTGCTGCTGCTGAATGTTTATGGTTTTTTGTTTTCAGGATTTGCACAGTATGGGCCTGGAGTCAAGGGGGTTCTCTCTGCAGCTTAGAAATAGAAAGTTTAAGTGATAGCTTGAAGTTTTCTGGCCATGGTAACTGACAAATGTCTTTGGGGTGTAATGGTTAAACTCTTCTCTTGTTTCCTGCGAAAAGACACTAGTTTGATTCTTGATTCCTGTGTGGGGAAGTGATTGTAGTGAGTATCTCTTGTCTTTCTGCAGGGATGTTGTGTCTGTCTCCGCCTGAGTTAGGTTTGGGTGTGGCAGGCAGTGTCAGAGTAGCCTGCCTATTTGATGACTTATGTTGTGTCAGTGGTGACTTAAAACATCCACCATCAATCATCCTGTCTGACGAAAGACTCGCTTGACGTCATGATAGCTTCCTTGGCGGACCTGTTCATTCCAGTTCATCTTCTGAGTCCCCAGGAAAGCACGCAATATTGCAGTCTGTTATGCACTCCGACATTATTATAACTCTCGTATGCCCATCCCTGCCGAATGCTCAGGCACCCATTTTGTACTGGTTGAACTGAGAAGATTAAAATAAAGTACCGTTCCTTAGGTACAACCTCTTTTCTACTTTTGGTTGGTTGTGCTCTAAGACAAGTACCCCAATTAACTCCTTCCCTTCAGATCAGAATGGGAATAAAATTCACAACAGGTTTTATGATTACAAGTATAGATATTGATCCGTAGACTTAAAAGTACTTTTATGTGATGCAGATGGAACCTTTTTGACCCCGGGCCTGTCCCTAGGAGCGCTGAAATGCTCTCCTCTCACCCATTCATGTGTTTATTTTGCTCCTCTCATTCCCATCATGTTTGCCCCATGATTCATTCTTCGCTGGCGTGTTTGGCTTGGCCGTTCGTGACTGGCTTCTGATTGACGCTACCCCGCCCTCTCATTCACTCTCTGCTCATCCCTGTTTGCCTGGCGGCGGTTTGATTGGCTGACACGATGTGACGCTGCAGTCAATTGCGGAACAGCACATTAAAGATCGTTTCTCTGACTGGGAGGTTAGCACCTTTTTTGTTAGTTAGTTTTCTTTTTTACCCACAGCTCACGCTGCTTTCTCTCTCTGACTGTCCAGGCTGACTGTGCTGTCTTGTGCTTTCAAGTACTTGTGTCTCTGCGCTTACTGTGCACCAAAGTAATGACTTGACTTAGTTTAAATATTCTCTAGTAACAGATGTGTATATTGCTGATTTTCAGTTGCGAATGAAGCTTTGGTGGTTTGCTTCATTTTGTTTTTATTTTTTAAAACTGTTATAAACTTTAGCCACCTGTATTTGTAAAGACTTTTTAAGTCTGGTTAACTTTATTTTTTGGACTTTTTTTTTGGTGTCTAGTTAAGCAAAATCTAGCTCTTTAAACTTTTTTTTTCCTATACTTTTTAATTGATTCTTATATCAAAGGGAAAGGAAAGCTCAAAGCGTTATTTCTTTTTCTTTTTTCCACATCATTGTAGAACTGCAAGAATGTTACGGAGCTTTGCTGGGCTTTCTTCCTATGTTCTCTGTCTTTTGTTTTGCTCTTTCTCTATCTGTCCTCTTCTCTCCATCTCTGTGTCCCCACCTCCCAACCGGTCCCCCTCCACACATGTGCATGCATGTAAACACACACCCTCACACACACCCACGCACGCACGCGCATACTCGCGCGCACACACACACACACACACACACACACACACACACACACACACACACACGGAATCTTGTTGATGCACTTAAACACACAGACAAACACGTACACTAATAAATGCAACTCATGCTCAACTACTCACACAGTAACACGCACACATGCACACTCTCACACACACACACACACAAACAAACACACACACACACACACATATATATATACAAGCATACACACACGCGCGCGCACACACACAAACACACACACACACACACACACACACATGTATACAAGCACACACACACACACACACACACACACACACACACACACACACACACACACACACACACTCACACACACACACACACACACACACACACAGACACACACACATGCAAATACACACACACACACACACACACACACATATACCTAAGCCACACTCAAATACACACACTCATGCACAAATTATAAACGTTGAGAAATTGTATTGATAGTTCATGGATTGGTGGGTTTGGAAATGAAAGGATTGTGTGTTTAAGAAATAAGTTTTATAGATATTAAAACTGTTGTGTTTTCCCTGAGGCCTGAGGCGTCTTCATCAAGTTTTGATTCCAACTTGGGGAAAAAACAGCTACGGATACATTTGAAATGTTGGTTGCTTTTATCAAGAACACAATGCTTCTTATGGTTAGGGAAGTTCCATCGATGTCCAACACATGTAGGACTACTGAAGATTTTTATAAATGGGAAAACTATTAAAAAAGTTAAAGAAACCATCTGAAATGACTGTCACCAAACTGTTGATGAAGTCACAAGCATTGTAAGGATTTCTTATGGCTTATGTCATGTGAAATTTGTGCCCTGTTTTCTGACTGTGGAGTTAAAATAGTTTCTGTGTATGGAGATTTGTTGCATTGGTCTCAGATTGATTATCTATACTTATTTTTTTCATTTTTCTGTTTTCAGTTTCAGTTAATATCCTTTAGTCGTCCTGCTTTTTGTATTTTTCTTTTCATTTGTTTGGATATCAAGTAGGAGGATACGATAGTATTCACATACTTCCTGGTTTGCCATTTTAAAAGTAACTATTTGTAATTGGGGGTTTTTTTTGTTTGTTTTTTTTAATTTGGTTATACGGATATATTATTTTTTTCTTCTTTATTTTTGGTAGTTTGGTTCTTGTATTGATGGTCCCATTTACAATGCAGCTAATTTATTTTTACTTTCACTCGTGTGATTTAGGGTTTCGGGGCGGTACGTATAGAAGGCAGGTTGCTTCACTCATTTACCAAACCTTATGTCAATGCTCACGTGTACCATGCTTGGATTTTTCAATGAAATTTCAAGATTTTTTTTGGCTAGCACATGTGCTTCCACCCGGCCCCTATCTCTTGTCCCCCTTCCCTGCCTTTGCCTTCGACCCTGCTATTTCTTGCAACTGTTGGGAACGGAATAAAGAAAAGAAACCAAGTTTTCTTATATTTGTTGAAAAGAGAAGTTCTGTTGCTTTTTCTTTTAGTTTGAGGAAAACATGTAAGAGCTAGTAAGCTATTCACTTCAGCTGTCTACTTTTCACATTTATATTGAATTTTCTCTTGTGTTACTGACTTTTTAGGGTGGACCGATTGATATGGTAAGAGTGTATATGTCGTTTACCCTTAGTATTTTCTTTGTTGCCGAAGAGAAATCTAGGTATCAGATGTAGTTGTTCCCTTTTTATTTATTGTGTGCAATTTTGCAATCTTTTAGCAACAGCTTTATTGTAATGCTATGTGTGTCCATGATGGGCATGTCAAAAATAAATTTGTTAAAAAACTATAAAACCTCTATCATAGGAAGCTCCTTGTAGGTGGGTTCTTTTTTTCTTTTTTTTTTTACTGTCCCTCTGTTGTTGTTGTTGTCTGTCTGCCTGTCTGTTCTACCTTTCCCTGGAATGGAATAGGGAGTATTATGTCCTGGTATTTGCCTTTGATTCAAATAAAGTGATAACTTTTTTAGTGTTAATATCTGTAATGTAATGTGTTATACTGCCATGTGCACGTTGTGGCTGTGTCGCTGTTGTAAGTGGTCAGTATGTTTTGTGTCTGGGAGCCTGCTGGCAACAAGAACTATGCAATGCATTGCGATGTTGCAGTAGATAAGTTGTTGCACACTGATTCTGGCTAGCTTCTCAGGGCCATTGAATCTGAAAACATTTATAGCAAAAAAGCGAATTCCCTGTGTGGATGATTTTTATAAGAGTACTTTTTAAGAAATTGCTAGCTGTATAGTCATTAGCTGAAATACATATGGTTGTTCACAGATATATTGGTGGTTCCTTCACTCACCTTCTTTGTCCTTTCCCACTCTTTTTATATATTCTTTTAGCATTTACTGTTTCATTTTGTACTGCAAAAACTTTTGATCACAGTAGTGCCTCTCAGAACTGTTTACTTCTCAGGAAAGATTGAAGCTAGTAGTCAATTGTTAGGGTGTCCCTGGGAAAAAAAAAGACTTGTTGACACTCTTTTTGAACATATTTAGTTCAGCCTTTTGTTCTAGTATTTGGTTTTCTAAGAGAAAATAGTAAGAGCCCACAGATGGCTCATGATGACACTTTTACAGCTGTTTTTCTCACTAAAGTGCTGAGCTGCCGAATTTCAAAGTGCCCTTGCACATTGTATAAATATACTGCGTGATACTATTTTTTGTTTGTTTTCTAATGTTCACTTTGAATGGACATCCTGGTTTTATTGCATCAGTTGTTCTTTCTTTTGTAAGAAAAATGAGCTTTCTGTCGTTTGATGATCTCGGATTCTTTTTTGGTGCACATTTTAAATTTCTATGAGAATAATGACAAGTGTGATTTTATTCATCTGGTCCTCATCAAACAAAGCATGGAATGTGTTTCCTTTTTGTTTGTACCTAAAAATGTAACAAATTCTTCATAATTCAAGTGAGTTTATGATTCTGCAACAGATTTTTGATCCATTTCAACCAGTATTTTTCGAGGTGGAGGTATTTTGGCACATGATGTGGCGAGCAGTGAACTCAGAGGCACTGTGCACTATTTACATGTTTGACGTTCAAGAGTGTATGTTTAAAAAGTACTCAATGATTTAGCCACGGTCAATGCAGTTTACCCAGAGCAAGGCACTTTTCTTTTGACCCAGCTGTATAATAGTATTATTCTCTCTAAATATATTAATTCAAAGTGTGCTATTTGTAACCTTCCTGTGTGTGTGTGTGTGTGTGTATGTATGTGTGCATCTTTACATCTTTACCGCACCTTTTTTGTGTTTTTCCCCTCTTTCTGATTCTTATTATCATGTATTGAGGAAACGGTTTATTCCAGAGCTATGAAATCTAAATAGTATATACCATTTACAAAAATAGAGACCTTCCAAATTTTAGATTATATATTTTTCTTTAAGTGTTGATAATAATCTTTTGATAAAAAAACAAACTTGTGAGAAGTTGACTGGATGTTGTGCTTGTCCTCTTTTCCGTTTTGAACATTTCTTGTGATATATGTACAGTACTTATTGTTAGCTGCACGTTTATTTTCCCGCCCACACCCGCTGCATCTTGACTAAGGGACTTGAAACCCTTCTGCTATTTTTTCTTTGCTTTCTACCATTGTGTGATTTATTGCCTTTTAAAGATATCACTGGATTTCTTTCATATTGAAACTTATGTAGAGTCAAATTTCAAAATAAAATTACTTTTTTGACCCAATGTAGTTTGTCAAGCTGGTGTATTTTGAATTATCTTTGAAATTTTTCTTTTCGGAATAACTATATAGCTAAGTGATCACTATTAGACTTTTCCAGACCCCCGTAAAAAAAAAAAGGTTTAAAAAAGCAAAGCGAAAAATTATTGTAATCTTAAGGGTTCGGTTTTTTTACAAGAGTTCTCATACTACTAATTGCACAGTACTAAATATAGATCACTGATGCCACCATAAATACAATGTTAATGGTTATGATCAAGGTTAACTGCGAATTGCATGTGAATGCCTAAGGTTTGGGTTGGTTCTATTTTGCAAGATTTTTGTAGCCACCAGCACTGACACGCAGCCACCGCACTCCTCCCCTCATCTCCCTCATCTTTAATTGTGGCACAACTTAGATTAACATGCAGGGTCCTAGGGTTTGCCGTTGGCCCACTTGGTTTCATGCTGGGCTATTGTGCCAGTTACCCTGGTTCATATCCTCAATGGAGGTATTCTTCAAGGCGTTTTCATTGGGCTCAACCTGCTTCGTGGGGTCCTGTCCCTTCTTACTTAATGGAAACCTGGCATTAAAGCCTGTGCTGTCACTTACAACAGGACTGAGAGAAATCAACTGTAAGACAAGACAATTATTCACAAACTAATATAAAATGTCGCTTTGTTAAAATTCATTACTGTTATGCTTTAAGTTCAAGCAAGAGACCTGTGCTTATTGCAGGAGAAGAATGAATAGCCTGAGTTTTTATGCATGTTGCATTTCTTGCACACAAAACACTTCCCAGACTTCATGAGTAAGTGGATGCAGGACATGACGGTGTTGGTAGCACCATAGGTCGTAACTATATTCATATGATATATCCCAGAATTTATTTTGCCTTTTTTGTCTATGTTCTGTGCACTTTTGATTTGTTGTACTGTACTGTTTCTAAAGATACAGAGAACTTCCTGTGCTATGTGCATCGCCAAATCAATGAATGTCTTCTTTTCTAAGTGTCTATCAGAAACTGTGTACAGGATTAATCTTCTGTTAAACTGCTCGTCTTTTGAATCCACTTTGAGCAAATCTGGGGTGAATAAGGAAAAAGTAGTGAAAATATGAAGTGTTTTTATAAAAGATATGATATATATACTTGGTTTTTTTTCAATTCTATTACAAGTCTTGATTGCTTTTGTAAGTAATAGATTTTTTTTTCTCCTATTTGTCTTCTCCCTAGTCACGAATGAGAGGCCTTTAATTTGAAGAATGTTATAGATCTATTGCTGTTAAAAGTATGTACCTAGTTTTTTGTAACAAAGTTGTTATTTTGAGAGAATGTGTAGCTCTGTTCATCAGCTTTAGTTTGATGACACAACAGTGAGTCGATAAAGAGTTTACGTGAGCCCACCACTGGCAAAGTGCCCTCTTAAAAAGTAGGAATAGGTAGATTACAGTATTTGCAGAATGTGCATATTTTTCTCTAAAGTACATAAGTTTTCTTTTATAACGATTCTTCCTTTTTGCTATGAGTAGGGAGATAAGTGCAGATTTCTGTGCTAATCTCATGCTTTATTTGCTTTTGATTCTCTGGAAGAGATGTTCAACCTTGTAATTGAACAGTGGGCAGCCAATCAGTGATTTCCCCTTTCTTATGTTATTGCCAGCACTTTTAAGGTGTTGCAGCTTTCATATGAAGTAATCTTTTTTCTGTCGTTCATTTTCTGTCTTGTACTCTGTCCAAGTAGGGCTTGAAGCTCTTTTTGTGAGTGGTATACATTATGGCTGACATAAAATACGTCAGTGAATTTCTGTGCACATATTATTACATGATAAAATTTGGAAATATACATAATATTATATGGGAGACATTGAAAGGTTCCTCTACATGTAAACTAAATTCAAGCATAGAACTCGTTGAAAAATCCCTTTGATTGTAAAATAACTTGAGACTTGGAACTTATTAGAAATTCCCTCTAATTATAAAATAAATGGAGACATGGAAGGTACTAAAAAAAGACAATCCCTTTCATTGTAAAATAACTTAAAGCACTGAATGCAGACTCATATGGATGCTAATACTCTTTAGAGTAAAATTGCCATAAAAGAACTGAAGTTGTGGAGAGTGAACAGTCGGACAGTTTGACTCATAAAACCCACTCATCTCTCTCTCTCACTTATTTCTGTTTTATTGTTTATGCTTATTTTTACCTGTGTATGGCAATATCAGAGTGTCAGTTATTTGCTTTGAAGGACACCCCCTTCCCCCCCAATTAGTCTGTATGATAACATTTGGTTGGATTCTGACCCACTGCTCAATCTTCGTAATAGCTAAAATAAATACAGATTTTTATTTTAAAGTGTGTGATATTACACTCACTTTAAAGGCCAGACAGTGTTTTCATTAGATGTGCACAAGCTTCCTTTAAAACATAGTCATGCCACTTTAATTTGTCTCTGGTTTACAGAACTGCCTTCCTAGACTTGATGTTTTTATTATTTCTTTCCTTGTTTTCAAGAAAGTAATTGTACGTTTGGCTTTGCCATTTTAATCTGAACGTTACTGCAATAGTTTTAAAAAAGCGAATGGTAAAAATAATTGCCTGTGAATTTTCACCCTGTTCCGATGATAATGTTGTTTTATTTTTGCTCTTCAGAAAATTTAGTCATGGAAAGAGAATAGTTTGTAACACTTAAGTGTTTGTTTCTGCACCACAGTGAGGGAATGACTAAATGGAGTGTCGTAACGTTACAAGTGTTTGCTGCTTCATGCTTACATTTTTGCTCTCGGTTTCTTTTCACCTCTTGATTAAAAGTTATCTGGGTTGTGCTATTGAAATGTTTCATCTGGAGATAAAGATAAATTACTAAGAGCCGAATTTTGCAATACTCTCAAATGTATTCTTCTAAAGTCTGAAAGGAATTTGAATATAAATACTTGGTGTGTTTATAGTAATTGATTGAGGGTCATGTTGAGGTTTTAAAAAAAAAATATTCTGTTCTAAGATGTAAATATGTGACAATACTTAAGCTTAAGATAGCGAATCGGAGCAGAAAAAATGCTTTGCTTGTGTTCCTTTACTCAACTATATTTGGAAATGTCATTTTGCCTGGTGGAACCATTGTTTTGCTGTCACTCAAAAATTATAAAGTAATTTGCTTTAAAAGACATCATCCCTTGTCAAGTCAGCTCTTATCGTTTAGATCTTGGTAAGAAATATAGGAACATAATTTATTATTGGGTTACACTAGAACTGCAGATTTCTTATTTTTGTGCAGAGACATTTCATTTCCATGTTAGTCTTTCAGAAGTGACATTGACTCATACTTCACTTATAAAACTTTCTTGGCTTTAGTCACTATATCGTTGTGTTCCCTCTATTTCTTCTAGGGTATATCCCAGATACACTGGCTCATCATTTGTCTTTAAAAAAATGTACTTTTGTTCTAGAGAGTTACGAGAAACAGTTCTCATGCTAAACACACTCACATACACATACATGCACACACAGTTTGAGCCATCATTTACGACCTGAAAAATTGAAATTTGAACTTTCACCTTTAGTGTGCTCACATCGTTATGTAGAGAGATGCATTTGAGAACATCACAATTTTATTGAACCTCCAGGAATTATTTGATTAACGCCGTTTTTAAAGAAACTGCTTTGAAAAAATGAGGAAATAGATTTTATCGAAGAAGAATACACTTGCGTTTTAGCTGAAGACTGAAAAAAGTTCTTTTGATTCAGCTGAAAATTGAAAATTTCTCTAGAAAAAAGTATTCTGCCTTGACAGGAAAGTTACTAAATCTCCTCTTTTAAGGTTTCATTCCTCCCCCCCAAATTTATAAACACCTGTTGACCCAAAATTATTTTTTAAAACACACCTTGCCATCTGTGAAATTATCGCTTATAAAGAGAATTAGTGATTGATGCACGTTCTCTGTCCTTCCTTGGCCCTCTAGACCCCGCTGCCGTCATTTGGAGCCAAGGTCTGGGAGCACACGATCAGACTTTTTCGTCGTATTCTGGTGCCCTTCCAGTATGACGAGACCATGCTGCCACCACTACGCCGCTCGTACACCTGTCCGTACTCTGCCAACCGGGAGTATCTGTGAGTTGTTAACGGTTACAGCTTTTCTGGAAAACTTCTCTACTTAATAATAATATATAACATTTATGTAGCGCATTTCCCCCCAAAAAGTAGCTCAATGCGCTTTGCATTGGAATACCCATTTTCAAAACCTTTCTTACTACTTCCTTTCTTCTCATGCAATATATTGCAGAAATATGTGGGACAACCTGAATGGGCTACTCCTTACAAACAGGAGATGCTACTCAAACTCCCCTTCCCCCTTCCTCAGGTTTGGGGGTCAGCTGGTACACACAACGTCATGAATTCTAACAGATGTATTGGCTGTTCAATGAATGCTCCAACACCCCCCCCCCCCCCCCCCCCCCCCCCCGCTATTTTGTTATTGAGTAGATCAAAGACACTTATGACTTTGGATGTCTTACCCTTTTAGCTGGTTATTCGTTACTGGCCATTCAATCAGAGAAGTGTGGTCATCTTCTATATTACGACAGGGGCCGGAAACACATGACTTCAAGATAAAGTAAAACTGAATAGAGTTATTCTATATGGAACGCCTGCAAAATTTTAACAGCTAGATTCCATTATTTTGATGAATTATACCATAAAGACGCTTGCATTAGGATTGTTCAATAATGCTTGCATCTTTCTAGATAACCGACTATCCTTTTCCTTCAAATTAAAAGAAAAAGTAAAAGACCCATGTTTTCGCTTGTAAACAGTGAAAGATAGATGCAGAAGGTAATTTTAACCATCATCATTTAAGCTTCCGCCATCTTCATCATCTTGTACTTTTGACCTTTAAAGTCTGTACAATCAGAATACCATCGGATTACTATTAGAATACGGTTGATGTATTTAGCTTAAACACTACTATTGCGAACACTTGTTCATTTAATAATAATAATAATAGATAGCATTTGTATAGCGCATATCCCCGCTCAACAGCAGGCTATATGCGCTTTACACTATATTATTACCCCAGCAGACCATAGAGCACTCCGAAACATTTCTCAGCTTCCCGGGAAGCATTTACATCATATGTGTCATGGCGTTGTGAAATCACTCGCTCTTCAATTTTTGGGCATGTGGATTTATTGGTATCGTCTTAAAACTTGTTCAGTTGTCTTGCTATCAGCAAAACAAATGCCCATCTATCTTGAATAGAGGTCAAGACATTTGAGATTGAAGTAGGTGGGGACACCTGGTTTCAAAGGTAGAATTAGAGAGAAAATGGCTGCCAACGTTTGGTTATTTCTTTAGCTTTAGTCCGTGGACACTGAAAACTTACATTTTTTGTGCCTTTAATCAACGTTTTTCAGTAAAATCCACCCAAAAATGTGTTTTTTAATTGGACAAAAATGGTGTTAAGCCGAAAAACAAAAATTTGATAAAAATTACCAAACTGGCTGAAAAATGCCAGTTTCTTCATTTTCATTATTTTGATGAGCGCCTGATTTCACCACGCTGCCTCACATATGTGTGTGACTGGGTCTGTTTGTAACTGTGAGCATATAATGTGTACTTGGTGAAGCACCATATGAATGTGCCAGTGTCTGTACAATAAAGATTAATCTCATTTTATATTATCTTGTACTTTTGTTTGAGGGGGGGGGGGCAACATTTTAATTTTCTGTTGTTTTTTTCAACTCATTAACTTCTGCTTTTGGTTTTAACTGCCAAAGCTGCACTTATGATGTGGGGGAAAGAGATGGAGGATGTGGGGAATAAGTGGACCTTGTCAGTCAATGGGGATTTGAGAATTCTGCTTGCTTTTCAGCTGTTTGTGAAGTTGCTGAGGATAGTTGGCTGTTTTCTTTACTAGCTTTCCACCAATACATACTATTACCGAGGGCAGTTATTTACTGAAATGTGAATAATACGTTACTATTCTTGAATGAAAAACCAGTACACAAACTATTTGTTTTTATGTTGCGAGTGATAATGGAACTTGTTTGGCTGAGAAGAGGAGCTGATTATTTTCCTCCAGTGTGGTATTCTTAATGCAGTTCTTTCTCCTCATTCATTCTTGTCTAAGCTGGAGGTTGTTGGTGAGCTTTGTGTTAGCTCGTACTGTTCTTTCCCTCTGTTGTTTCTCTCTGTCTATCTTGCTTTTTTTCTTTTTGCTAAAGTAATGAACGTTATCATGTCACTGTGCCTCTCTTTACTCAAACTCAAACTAAAAATACACTTCAAAAAGGTGCAAGAAGTAAAGTGCTTTTTTTTTTCAATTATAATTACTTGTGTAAAACTGTCATGTAATGGAATAACCTTATCGAGTTACAATTTGGTAATAAAGTAAAAAAGATTTAACTTCTGCTTCATACAATCTTGCATTTTTAGGTTTGAAATCCCAAAGAACAAGGACGAGCTGTTCTCTCATGCGACAAGAAGTTGGGTGGTAGATTACATCCTGAGAAGGAAGCCGTTTTCTGTCTCAACTGACAACTTTGCTTACGGTGAGTTTAGCGCCTAAGATATGGGGATCTCAGTCTTCTTTGGTTTTGCTGAAAGGTCGGTAGGGTAGATCACATCTTTCACATTTAGAAAATGATCTGATATAGCCTTCATGTTCTTTGGAGGCAGTCCAGGGACCCAGGAAAATGTGTATATTTTGCACAGTGTATTTAAGTTATTGGAAATGTTTGACCCACTTTGGACGCTGTGCACATTAAAAAGGAGATGGGCTGCTTAAACCCCCTGCTTATCGGGGCCAAGCAGGGTTGTGAGGGATTCTACATCCCACAGAAAGATGGAGACACCTGACAGAATGTCTTTCCCACGTGGAAACAGATTGTGTGCCTCATGCATGCCCAGTGCATATTGAAGGAAATTTGGTCAAATCCTTATTTGATACCTTTGAGGGATTACACTGGCCTTTGTGCACTATTCACATTCATGTCTGCTTTGCTTCATCAAATCTTGTAAGTCAAATTGTGGCCTATTGTATTCCATGCTATGCATGATGACCTTCTGATTGGTTGTTTTCATCAAACGTTTCATATCATGACCTAGAAAATCAAGGTTGATGTTGGGGGATTTGATCACATTGTACCAAAATGGTAGCTTCTGTGATGACTACACATTGTGCATCATATGGGGTTGATGCGGATATTCACATGCCAGTATTACATTCATCTTCCTAATTGGTTGGTGGATGGTTTGCAGGCTGATATTTATGAACGTACTGGAATGAAATTGTTTGAGGTTTTTTTTTCCAGTTTGGCACTTGGACTGGATCAGTATTCCTTTCTTTTTTTCTGTCTTTTTCTTGCCTGCACTGATCACATAGCTTTGTGTTGTGGATAGTGTCTTGGAAGAGCTACCAACAAAAAATGTATAAATAGGCTGAGGTATCCTATTGTCTGACAGTGTGAATAGTATCTTACAACTCAAACAAACATGCTTATAGACCAGCTCATTTTGCTGTGTGGTGGTGTTTTATAGTTATATATAAATATATATATATATACATATTGGCAATCTTTCTGAGGTGGAAACCAGGCAAGGGAGGGGGGAATGGGTGCAATTTGAGAGTAGCTGTTACACACACCCCCCCCCATCCCCATGTGAGCTCCAAGTGGTGCAGATGGCCGAGGCAGTGTTTGTGTGAAATTTCACTGCTGCTTATCTTCAAAATGTTTAAGAGACATGCCACCAAGGGAACTTTGCTTAGTAGGGAAAGGTGTGAACTTTAACCACTGCTGCCGAGAAGAAAGTTCCTAACATGCAGGGGAGGGATAGCATTGGTTGATCGTGTTTATCAATGGTAATAATAAATGACAGTAATAAAAATAATATTGCAGATAATTTCTCAAGCCCCCACCCTTGTAGTATACAGCACTAGGTGCTTAACAATACCTTCATTATAACACAAAATATATGTGAGTAAAGATGCTTGCACATGCATGTGTTCTTTAGATTAACGCCAACACAGAAGCAGACCTTCATATTATCACAGCACCATTAGTTGATGATGATATGCACATCACATTATGAACTTAAAAATACTATGTATAAGAGGGAGTATTGAGGTGGCGTTTTATAAAGCATGTTTGTAAATGAATTTTAAATTTGTCGTTGACTTTGTAACCCTCAAGTGTTGTGGGAGAGAGTTCCAGATAGGTGGAGCAAAATGAGAAAAGGACCTCCAAGTGAGTTACAGACCATCCTTCCTAGGCGCTCTAATAAGAGACTAATCTCCTGATGTTGGTGGCCTATACTCTAGTATACACTGAGAAAGGCAATGATGATTATTCCGATCTCGCTAGACCAACTATGCGAATTTCAGGGTCTCCACTCTCTATGGGGCCATGGTTGATTCTTCAAGGCGTCCTGCTTGAAGGACAGTGTTAATTTATATTTAAGAACTGGGGATCAAAAAATACTTTTACAGAAAGACATACAGCTAAACAAAGAGACCAACAGAACATCAGAGTGTGATTGTGTCATTATCGATAATTCTCATGTGCCTGTTTTTAAAAAATGTTTTTCTCAGGCGTCAACAAAATGATCAAGGACCAGATTTATACAGCTGCCTTTCCACTGCACGAGGTGAGTAGCTGAAGTTAAGCATTATATATTACTATGTAGACCTGTAGTGTCTCTGAGAGAGGGGATGCTGGCGTCTGAGATGTAGCAGTTAGGTGCTTTGCCATGGCATGCAGAAAGGTGGGTTTTTAAAATTAGAATTGCACATTCTTGTCTGTCTGCTGGGATGTTGTATGCCTCTGAGTCCGGCTTGACTGGGATTGGCAGGGTTGAAACAACCCACCTCCTGTGATCTAAATTGTGTCAAGGAGGTCACAAAACATCTGTAAAATTACAAGAAATCAAATTTCCAAATTTATTGCCCCATTTCGGATAGGACTGAGCCATGTTGGTGAAGAGCCTTTGAAACTCCCCAAATAACACAAGGGTTTAGAGCACCTCTGATGAGGTCTAGAACCAGGATGATTCACACTGCAGTATACAGCATGACCCCAAGTGAGATATCGGTGTATGCTTTTGAGTGCAGTGAAAAGACGTTAAGTATAATTATTTGCCCAAGGAATGTCATCTTACATATAGTATGTCACTGATTATAATTCTCCAGCTGCTCTTTGTTCTGTGTGGTAAGGCTCATTGTCATCAGGGGCATTATAGTTGAGTGCTGAGGGACTAGATTTTTAATAAAAATGGTGTGTTTGATTCCAGGCTCCTTTGGATGGAATGGCTTATTCTTATTCTTTCTTTTTTTTTGCGTTCATCCGGTAAAAGGGTATTAGTATTAGTGGGAAAGACAATATATTAATAAGCTCCTCCCACTCCTCTGCTCCCTTCTCCCCTTCCTCTTCTTCAACCAGTATTCAAAATTACTGGATTTTGAAAGTTTTTACGGATTCATGACTACGGTCACCACTCAGTGCCTGGAGTCGGCATAATAAATCAGAGCATCCAACGTTAATGTTACAAACTCAGCCTTGATTTTCATATTGAAACTGTCAAAAGTTCCAAATTGAAAGTTATGCACGTGAAATAGTGTTGGGTTTTTCGGGCCATGATTTTGTTATTGAAGCTTCCTCAGAAGGTCCAAATTGAAATTCATGTATATGAAAAAGAGTTGTTTTTTCTGCATTCTCATATTTATTAAATATGTTCAGAGTTATGGACCGCTTTGATGAAGTTACGTCCAAAGACATAATCCATCCCCAATTAGTGGAGCTTCTGTCTCATGTTTGCTCTTTGTAGAGCCTGCTCAGTGGGTAGAAAATGGGTAATCTGAGTTAAAGGAAACTTTATCTGCACATATGTGGCCGCCATGTTATTTGTGTTCAGATTGGGCTTTTAAAAAGATGGGCTTGGTAATTATAAGCCCTGTTATTATTTATCTCTGGCTCTTTTTATTTTCTTTTGAGTGTGTAATGTCTATACATAGTACTTTTTTGCTCCAATGTGTCTCAGAAATACACTTGTGTCTTTCTCACAGGGTCACTGGAAAACTGGTTCTGCTGAGAATCCAAGAAAAATCCTCTTTGATCATTGGGCTCACTGGCGGAACTGTCTCAAATTCCAGCCCCTCGGACACGTCAGGTGAAAGATTGTTTGATTTTTCAGATGTAAAACAAAAGACTTCTTGTTGTGAAGAAAAAGAGAAAACTCTGATACGAAACTTTCGTAGACTGTCTCTGGATGGGAAATCATTTGAACAGTTGCTTATTTCTTGATGAAAGAAGTCCACTTTGAACTGTGTGGTCACGTTGTTGTTGTAATGTTGTTGGTCAAGCAGCAGTCTTGACCTGTCAGCTTTTTTTGTATCTGCTAACTCTTGTCTTAGTTTTTAAAAATCTGTACTAAATGATCATTATTGTGTTCTCGCCAGAGTTCCAGTCAAATCCTATTTTAAGTCATTGTGCTTCTTGTTAGCTGAAATGTAAATATGTGTCACAACACGGTGAAATCAGGCGCTTGTCAATTTTTTGGCACGTGGAGTATGGTATTATCTTAAAGCCTGTTCATTTGCCTTGCTTTTGGCGAAAAAAATATCCATCTATATTGAATAGAAGTCAAGATATCTGCAACTGAAGGAGGTGGGGGTCACCTGGTTTCAGAGGTAAAATTAGTGAGAAAATGGCCGCCAAAGATGAGTTATTTCCTTAGCTTGAGAGTCCGTGAAAACTGAAAATTTACATTTTTTGTGCCTTTAATCAACGTTTTTCAGTAAAATCCACACAGAAATGTGTTCTTCAATGGGCATGAAAGGTGGTGAGCCGAAAATCGAAAATTCAATCACAATTCACAAAGCTGTTTGAAGTGCCAGTTTCTTCCCTTTGATTATTTTGACGAGCGCCTGATTTCACCACGCTGCCTCACATATACTTGTGGATGTTACAGGAACATCTGGTAGGTTCTACTTCTTTTTGTTCTTGTTCTCAATATTTCTGTCTGGCTGTCTTGCTTTTTCTTAGAACTAAGCGTCCATTATTTTGTTGATAGGGTTGTCTTTGACTCAAATTTCCGTTTTTCATTGGTGCTGGCAGGTTGTACTTTGGTGAGAAGATAGCCCTGTACTTTGCCTGGCTGGGATTCTACACCACAATGCTGGTGCCTGCCACAATTGTGGGCCTGGCAGTTCTCATCTACGGACTGGCCGTCATGGGCACTAATTTGGCCAGGTGAGATAGGTTGTGGAACACTTTTGATTTCATATCCATATTTAACATGTATTGTGACCTTTGTTGGGTCATTGCATTCTTTTTTATTGAACTGGATTTATTAAAAAGTACTACAAAATATTTGAACTTAACTTGTTTTGATATTGTCCTGCAATGACTTGGACATTTGTAAGTTAAATGACGGCTGAGATGGATAAATAGTCAAATTTGAGGATGTATTCAGATAAGTTGATATTGTGTCAGTTAAATGCACGATTTTCTGGAACCATTTTAACTGCTCTTTCTTCTTTGCTGTCCGCTTCCCTAATCTCTTCTTTATCTGTTTTTCTGTCCTCTCACTTAATCTCTTCTATATCTATTTTTCTGTACTCTTCCATCTTTTTTTCCCCACCTCCTTTAGCCTCCCTTCTTTGCTTCCCTCTCAATTCTGTACTCCTCTGCCTTCATTACCGTTCTGTACTTTTACCAGTGGATCAGAGTTTTTCAAATTTGATTTGAATTTGCCTATAACTGGCTTTTGGTTTGTTTACATTGTATACTATTGGAACAAATTCCAATTTTGTAAACATAAATGCTCAGAAATGGAGTATTAAAAAAGATTCTGATTATACTGAAAAACAAAGTGCAGTCTTAACTGTTTGTAATCATGTGTCTCAGAGTAATACGCATTTATTTTTTTTATTTCATGCTTTTTTTTACTAATTGTACAACAGAGAACATCATAGTTCTTTTGCTCAGTATGGCATACTGAGAAATGAACAGTACAATTAATTTTCTCTTCACCTCACTACATGGCTGCTGAACTTATCGTCAGTGTGCACAAGCTGAGATTTGTCTGTAAACCTTTTTGTCACATGTCTGATATCTAATAATTTTGCAGTAGAGAGAGTGTGTCATTGATAGTGTAGTGGTAAGTCGCACAGGGAACCAGGGTTCCATTTCCGACTGTGAAGAGGTGTTTCCCTTGACATTGAGAGATAAGACTGAAATGGAGAAAAGAAATAAGATAAAGACACAAGCTGATTGAGAAAAGTGCTTCTGAAAGACGGACAGAGAGAAAGGGAAATTATTTTTAAAATTTATTACAATACAGACAAAAATATCTTAATTTAGTCTGCTGTTTCTTCAATGTTTATTGAATATTGTTCTGTTGGTAGAAGGAGGGTTGTATGAGTTAATACAATAACAAATAATAATGGTGATGGATCATATTTGAAGACCACAGTGGAATAACAATAAAAGTCATATCTACAGGTTTTGAGAAAATCAAATTCTAAAGTTCAATATCCACAGTATATACACAGACTGTTTTGATCTTGTACCCTTTTTTTAAAAAGGTCTTTAACTTAGGACTCAATCCTTTATTTGGTTTGATATCTTTTTGTGAGTAAACTTTTGTGATAGTGCACATGCTACATCATGTAGTTAAGCAATCCTGAGTTCATAGCTTTTATCTTTTTTTTCAATTCTTTTCCTCCTTTGTTTATTTCTATTCTGTGAATGCTAAAGAACAAAGCAAGCTGGAGACTTTGTCCTGTTTCTTTTGGGGGTTTTTGGGTTCTTTTCTAGCAAAGACCTCGTGGCAGAGTTTTGTACCTGTGATGGAAAGCAGTTTGTTGACCTTATACCAGACAAAAACAAGCAGTAGATTCTAAGCTTTTTTTGATTGTTGTCTACAGTAAAGAGCTGTGTGAGAGTGATGACATCATCATGTGTCCACTGTGTGACAATCACTGTCCCTATTGGAGGCTCAGCGATGCCTGTTCGCATGCCAGAGCCAGTCGAGTCTTTGACAACGGAGCCACTGTGTTTTTTGCCATCTTCATGTCGTTATGGGGTAAGTACGCTTGTTTAATGCAGATTTTTGTAGTTTTTGCCCTGCTGACTGACCCTATGAGAGAGGTGTCTGTGGTGTAGCAGTTGGGTGTGAGTTTGATTCCTGTGTGGGAAGGGTTTATTTATCATGTTTCTCTGTTTGTCTGCCAGGATGATGTATCCCTCTCAGCATAGGTTTACCAGGGCCGACGCAGTGTTCCTTGTAAATTTTCAAAATAGTGTCCCTAGAAGCGTGAAACATCTACTCTTTGAGTTGCAAATGGTACTCTGATCTAAATGCGCCATAGACATCGATCTACACAACACATTCATCTGACTGGGAGAGGAGCATGGTACTAGTTTATTATTCACAGCCTTGGCATCCATGACAAATCTATTTTATCAACTTGCTTTAAGAGAAAAACGTTCCAATTCTTGTTATGGTCACATTAAAAAATATCTTCTGATGAGTGTCCCAGTCTTCTTTTCCCATGTATATTTTCTCAGTATTACCATCTATTAGAAAAGTTGACACAATTCGTCTTTTGCCTTTGATGTGCGATGAGTTCCTTTGCACTGCAGTTTGTCAATGCTCTCCAAATACAGCACCCCTACATCTGAACCCATGAGAGTCTGCAGGTTTAATTTTTTTTAATGAGTCAGGTTGTTCATTAAAATTGTTACCTTTATTCCATACGTTCACTTCTTAATTTGAAAAAAAAATTGGGTGTTAATTTTTGTGACTAGATTTTACTTTTTAATGAGACTTCAGGACAAAATTTTACAGAATTTTGTTTTACAGAATTTGGGTGGGGTTTTTGGGGTTTAAAAAAAAATCAGTTTCATTTATGTATTTTACATATATATTTTGTGTGCAGCATGATATAACTTTCACAAGAGGTGGTATTTTCTTGGATGTCTCCGACTTTTTTTCAGATGTATAGTTGTTGTACCCCATGTGGCCCAGGTGGGCCCTAACAAGCATTGTTGAAACAGTTTGCATTTTAAATTGTCTTGACTGTAACAACAGGGGCTGAAACATTTACAATCAGTCAAAAGCACTGAAATTGTACATTTGAAAAAGTAGATTGTTTAAAAGTTTACAGATCATTTTTGTTTTTTTGCTCTTGTGTGACATAAATGAAAAACCTGTCTGAAAGATTTGATACCATTGTCATGTGTCTGCTGTTTGTTGGTGTAGGAGAGTTGATTCAAGTTGCATTGTTGAAATCGTCCCACCACTTCATTTGAATGACAATGCAAACAAAGAGTAATTTTTTTCTTTTTTTTTACTGTTGCAAAATTGTGAGTAGGTGTCTTTATTTTGTAAACATTATTGACTCAGATTTTTGTTGTTTAATTACTGTCACAGCCATAGAGAACTGCATCAAAATTTTGAGAGACTTCTGTTTATTTGTAAAGTTTCTTATCTCTTTAATTGCTTTTTTTTCTTTCTGTTGCAAAGTCTTGAGTTGCTGTTTCAAGGTCTCAACACTGTTAACTTTATTTGTAAACTGCATGTTGCGTCTTGCACTTCTTATGAGGTGAAAATAAAGCAAGATGGACGAGCGGCTCACTGTGATGTTTGCTTGTAGGTACACTGTTTTTGGAGTTCTGGAAGAGAAAGGAAGCCACCATTCAGTACAAGTGGGACCTGACCACCTTTGTCTCTGAGGAGGTTTGTCTCTTTTATGTATACTTTTGAGTCCCTCTGTGTGTTGAGGCTTACATTATTGTACTTAAAACAGAAGTGAATTGTTGATTGGGGTGGTTTGCTCCTTCTTTTCTGTCAAACATCTGTCATCCTTATCTCTCCTCCTTCTTGTCACTCTCTGATAACACCTCTAATCTTCAGCATTTATAGGACCTAATTGCATTGCAAGTGTTGTAAAACTTTTACTAAAACTAAAAAACAAAAAACAAAGGTGGGATTAAGAGAGAAATTGAATTATGACATCACTAAAAGATTGTGTTGGTTATGATGGTGAAGAAGTCACTGGTCAGAGGGATGGCTATGGCGGTCCTGTTACTCTAACTGTGACAGAGAACAAGGAGACATAATGCGGACTAGCTCAGATCCCATGTGCCTACTGTGTTCATCATGCTTTATCAGTACTAATAGTTATTTATTTTGCATTCATTTTTCTATTATTCACCCATGAGGTTTTTGCTACTAGATTTGCTTTGAATGAGAGTGCAGGACATAACTTAATTTACTACTGGTGGGTTTTTGCCTTTTAGATTTTGTGATTATTTCACCTGTGCTTTGCATGTGCTGATCACAATGAATTTGACAAACAGTTACATTTTTGTGGTGCTTAAAACTCTCATTCAAATCTGGGCTTTTATCGACTTTGTTTCTAGACTGTAAAAATAATGAGACTTTGAGTTTGATAACAACTTTGTCTAATTATTGAAAAGACCGGTGTTCACTTTTTCCTTTAATTATATTCTCATTGTAGTTTGCTTCTGTTCACTTCTGTGACAAAGTAGGATTGAAAAATTAAACTAAATGTAGGAGATATGTACACAAGAGATCGTCTGATTCTGCAAAAATTTAGTTGATGTAAAAACAATGTTATCAGTGTGAGCATTGCTTGAGCATTGATTTCTAGAATCGACATGTTTTGTAAGACCTATTACATGATTAAAAGAGCACATTTGCCTATATCAGCATGAAACCAGTCAGCCTCTCTTTGAGTAATTGTGGATCTGTGTGGAGAGTAGCCTACTGTCAATCATATCAACGAGTAAATAAAAGGCGTGGACAAAGAGCATGTTAAAAGTCTGTTCCATGTTCTGTCATTCGTAGTTGATCCAGAGTAAGACAACATTATTCCAGGTTCCATGAACATCATTGTGGTAGTGCACAAGTGAATAATTGTCTTGAATGTATCTTTCCTTTTTCTTTTCTCATAATTTGCTTGGAGTATAAAACTCGCTTCTCTGTAGTGGTGTCTGTAGAAAACACTGACATAAATTATGAATAATTCTGAGGTATCTTGAGACATTGTCACTTGTACAATGACTTGTCGTGTTTTAAATTTCTATCACTCCATTGGCTTTATGTCATATTTTTACTTTTGAAGACTATAGAATGTTTTGATATGTTTGATTCTTGTCTTTAAGTTTGTGTTTTCCTTGGATGATTGGAGGGCGCTTTTGGAAGGTTGTCTTTCTTTTCTTTCTGTCTGTCCTTGTTTTTTCCCTACTCTATATAGCTTTTATAAGCTTAGTGTCAACCTTTGTACTAAAACTGAACTTTTTAATGCTTTCCTTTTCTCACAAAAAGTTAATGCAGGAAACTGCACAGCGTGGGGCTAGACTTTTAAAAAAGCTATTTATGTTTGATAGGGTATTAAAATTAAACTTACAACCCCCTTCCTCCACAATTTAAGGGGACTAAGAAGAAGAGGAAGAAACGAGCAGAGCTGGTACATTTTGAAAACCAGTACTTTTACTGTACTCCGATACTTTTTATAAAAGTACTTTTGAGTACTTTTCAAGTACATTTTGAGTACCTTTGAAGCTTAATGAAAGAATAAGTGCCGACATTTCCGATCATAATTTACGGAACAAACACCCGGGCGGGCACAGCCGATCAACCAAGAGTTAAAAGTTGAGATTAAAGAACTGCCCGTCGCGTCAAAGATCAGTCACTCTTGTGAAAGTGATCACATGCGCTGTATAACTCCATGAATCGGTACAATGATCCCCAGATGGGATCACACCGAGGTGTGAACTGACCGATGGGCGTTTCTTTTCCCCAAACATCGCACTCACATCTGAGCTCGTCACCTGAACTTTCATCCCTCGCTAATTGGGTTGGGCCTACAAGTTCGCTCCAGGCAGGATCACATCGAACTGTGAACTCTTCCCTGACCATTGAAGTTGAAAGCAGTTTTTCTCTATTCCCGAAATTGCGAGACAGCCTGAATTTTAATTGGTGTGGTCACAGCGTAATGGTACGTAACGACAAAGGTGGGGGGACTCAATCAGAGATGGAAGGCTACAGTTTTTGGACAGGTAAAGGGGAGGGGCAACTAGATAAACGTAGATAAAGATCTCGAGACGATATGCTAATGAGTGTACGGTATAATATTATGGCCACTCTTTGCTCGCCATATGTCACAAACCCACCCAGGGGTCACGTCAGTTCTTGGGTCACTGTAGATTCTTCCTTAGCTTCGTCGGGCTAAGATCCCGCATTTCCCTTGCTCCCGAGCACTGGGATCTTAGGCGGAGACTACTGTAGTAGAGAATTTTTGGTTACACTACACTTACTAGACTCTAGGAAATTACATGTAGGCATATTTTGGTTTGCCGTGGGCGCCGTGGACTACACAGTGTGACCAAACTCTGTCTTACCACTATTATAATCAATTGAAACTGAAACTGAGTTCTCAATGTACATCAATCTAACAATTCTTTAGGCTACCTAAATTTCTTTTTTCCTTTTTTTGTGGTTTGTGCTTAAGGCTACCTTGATTCCTTGAGGATTTGTTAAAGAAGAATTCAAAGCACTTTTTTTTTGCTGGCCATTTTCGTCAATTTTTTATTTTCTTAGATCAACTTTGTCTCTACATTTTCCAACTTTTATACTTTTCCTACTTTCCGACCTCTAGGACTGACTTACATTTGATCATATTGTCTTGCTCAAACAAATTCTATTCATAATATCACTTACTCACTAGTTGCGTCTGTTTGTTTGCTGGGGTTTTTTTCTTCAATTTCACGGACAATTTCCACCTACGTTCAGTGCATATGTTCGTGCATATGTTCAAATGCTTTGTATACTGTTTACATTATTAGTAATAAATGGCCGAATTTGTCAAATATACTAGATATGTTATTCAATATGATGTTTTGCATTAGCATATTAGCAGAAAGTACTCAAAATGTACTCATAAGTACTTTTTAAAAAAGTACTTGTACTCAAGTACGTTTTACAGGAAAGTACTTTTACTGTACTTAAGTACATATTTTAGATTGTACTTAAATTTGTACTTAAGTACCTTTTTAGAAGTACTTTAACAGCTCTGGAAACGAGCATAATGCTGTGCTTTTCATCATTTTCGATTTGATATTTATGTCTTTTTTCTTGTTGTTCCAGGAACCGCCCAGGCCTGAATACTTGTCGAAACTGGAAAACTGGCACACGATGAAGATCAATCCTGTCACAGGGGTGGGTTTGTGCTCACTGTTACTTGTATTCTAAATGTTGGTGTTGAAATCTTGAAGTCTGTTGGCCATTGGAGGATGCCACTTCCTGGATCGGTGAAAGAATTTTCTCAGAAACTACTAGATGACGGTTATTGTGTCAATTTGCTTCTGTTTTACTCATAAAAAGGATAGCACTCTTCAGACTTTCCTGTTGCAGATTAATTTGGTTTAAATGGTTAATACACTTTGTCAGGTGTCATGGTTAATGATATCATTTATGTTAACTCTTTTGATATGATGTCATTCCCTAGTATGTTGAGATGTGGAAAATTGTACATTCTGCGATGTACCAGGTATATCAATATAGCATTGAAGGGGTTAATGTCAAAAAGGTATGTAATTAACTAATTGTAAAAGTTGTTTTTTTAATTTACAAGGGATGTATTTTCGAGAATGGTTCTATACTTGACCAAACTTTTCTTTGTGTGTTATAGTTTGTGATTTTTCCCTCTCTTCTTAGCTGAAAGAGCCTCACCTTCCTTTCTGGCGCCGCAGGTTTCCCATTTTCCTGTGCTCGTACTCCATCATGTTGCTCTTGGTAAGTGTGATGTTGATGGTACTGTTCAGTATGTCGTTAGCGGCTTTTTCCACCAGAGGCGTAGCAATATTTTTTTCAGTTTTCACAAAATCAAAGAAAAAAAGTCAGCCCAAATCAGAACCCTGACTTGGGCACTAGTTATTGTTTGATGTAAAGCTAGGAAGGAAATGAAAAAAAGGATCAAAGATCATATTCTTAGATGCTCCTTGATGTCTTTACTCGAGTAAAAGCCTTCTCTGGAAACCCCCAGAAATTGATTTGAGTGATTATGGAATGATGCTGATGCTATGTAACGTTGTGATGTTGGTAGCAAAGGTCTTTGCCATTGCTATAAAAATGCGTGAGTCAGATTCTCAGGCGGGGAAGTTTGTTTTGTCGAGTCTGTGTTTCTGCTGGAATGTCGTATCCCACTCAGCCTGGGTTAGCCCTGGCAGGCAAGGTTGAGGCAGTCCATCTCCTAAATGATCTAAATTGCCATTAATTTACCATCATTCTTACTTTTGCTTTTGCATTTTCGTGTTGAGAAAAATTAAATGTTAGTTCTTGTTTTGGTTCCTGAGTATGGAGGAATTTTTATAAAGTATTTCAGTCTTTCTTCGGTGATGTTGTATCCCTCTCAGTCCAGTTGCCCCTGACAAATAGGGTCAGAGGCCCACCTTCTAAATGATCTAAATTGTGTCGATGGGGGCGTAAAAACACCTACATTAATAATTAGTGATGCTGTGATGGAAGATGTACCAGAACTAGGTCACTGTTCGAGAATGGCTATGAGCGTTAGTCTTCTCAAACTGTTCTTCAGACAGGAAGCACTTTGTTAGTTAATGTACATTTTCAACCTTGGCAATGGCATTAATTGCACAGACGCGTATTTACAGACACTTTGCTTAACTTATTGAGATTGCTTTTAGAAATAAGTTCTAATTATAGTCCTGGTCTTCTTTTCCCTGAGAAATTCTCCTCAATGCAGCTGTAGCTTTACGTGCAGTCTGTCTATTCACACTGCTGTCAGTTTCTGTGGACCAAATACAGTGTGGCTACCAGGCGGCCCCTGTTACATCGGCTGGCTTATAACAAACTTTATGCGTTTTGTAGCTTTATGTCTTGTAAGCTGCCGTGCTGTAAGATAAGCTGTACTCGGAGCATTGAAGATTTTGATGATTTAAATGAAATGACATAGATCTGATACATCATATGCATGTGTAGCTGAAGAAAGATGCTTTTATCTTTTTGTATTGTCTATCAAGCTGACTTTGGACTTTGCGTAATAAACGTGTTCCCTGTGTTGGTTTTGTTTTGAATGTATGTGTGTGGTTTTTTTCAGGGGGGGGGGGGGGGGGGATTTTAGATGAAAAGTTTTAAACTTTTGAATGCATTTCCATTCTTGCAGTGGAAAATTTGGTATGAAGTTTCATGTGATGTTACTCTAACAAAGTGTGCTCTAAAAGCAGTTCAAATGTGTTTTTTCCATGTACCAGTTCTGTAATGACGAGCAATTTGCTGTGCTGAGATGGTTGAATGCTGCTTAGTGCTCATTGCTACTTTCTTTCAGTAAAAGTAGATTTCACCCACCCCATTCTTAAAAAGTTTTAAAATGTCTTTCACACATGATGTCATAGCGACCCAAATGTGGCCCACAGAGAGTGGAGACCTGGGATGTGTGTAGTAGTTAAAGTAAGTTTTGAATAGGGGTTCCAATTAACTTTTATCTATCTTTCTTCCTGTACCCCCCCAATCCCCTCACCCTCATCCCCACCCCCCCACCACCCCCATTCCACCACCACACATATCACCATACAGGCTGCAGTGGCTATCTCGGCAGTGATTGGCGTCATTGCTTACCGTGTGTCCATGCTGGCCGCCTTGAACCTGATCCCCAACGAGGTTGGGAACGTTAACTCAACAGTTGTGACCACCACGGCCGGCCTCATCTACGAAAACGCCAGTCTTGTTACCACGGTTACCGCTGCACTCATCAACCTGGCTATCATCATCGTCCTCAACTTGGTGGGTGGAGGAGAGGAGATGAGATGGAATGAAATAAAAAAAAAGACACTTTTTTAATACAGATTTAAAGATTGATCGACATGATATAAACTTGTTGTAAAGTAAGATGAAATCAAGTGTTTCGTACTGGCGCTAGCCTCATCTTCTTTGTCACAAAGTAAGACAAAAAAGAGTCTTTGAAATTGACGCTAGCCTTATCTCTGTTATAATAAGTAAGATTAACATGAGTCTTGGGTCCTGTATAGTAAAATAAAACGGAACGATTTCCTCAAATTATAAGAGATTATATAAAAGAAGTGTGCAAGATATACACTAATCTTGTCTTTTTTGTTTTAGAGTAAGGTAAATCTTAGAATTTTTCCACTACTGGTTCTTTTCTTTTGTCCCATGTTTTTTTCCTTCAGTTTCTGTCTCTTTCTGCTAGGATGTATCTCGCACGGTTTGGGCTGGCCTTGACTGACAGTCAAAGCGGTCCAATTCCTGAATGACCTACCTAAACTGTGTCAGTGGTGGTGTAAGACGTTTAGATAGAATTGACAACATAAGCTCTTTTGTAAAGTTTTGTAAAGCTACTCTGTGTTTACGGCAACTTAACCCACTCAGTTCCATTGGATTTCCAGTTGGAAGATGGCTCAGGATCACGCAATGGGGAATAAATCCGTGTTTGTAATGTAGTGGGTATTTTGAAAAAATCATTATAAAATAACCAATCCATTGATCAAAAAAAATCTTGAAACAAGTTCCTCACAAATGAATAAATTACTTGTTTATTGTGTGTGACTGTATTTCATAATTGAAGATAAAATCAGCCGAGTTGTAGATCTAGATCTAGATCTAGTCATATGCTCCTCATTGACCTCATTCTCATTGTCCGAATCACCCCCCAAAGGCACAATTAGATCACCATCAATGTCACTTTCACTTCAATTGCTACCATTCTGTGGGTTTTCTCCCCCAGCACTGATATTTTCATTAAAATTATCCAAAAGTTCGCCTAAATCAGTCTGAACGCGATGCCGGCGGCTTGCGAAGAACGCTCGATCTTAGCTTGCGAGACCCGTGTGAACTGCAGTTTGTTTACATTGAATTTAGTCCAACTAAAATTTCCAGAGCTATGTCCCTGCTGCTCTCAAGGAGAGAATGATTATCTATTTTCTGATTGGTCGAAATGCGGGTTAAATACGATGGTTACCAAGCGTGTACACTTCCGTAGAAACAACGCTACTAGCGCGCGGCCGGCTACGGCCGTAATGGTACTAGGCTTATGAAACGGAAGCGGCCGGCTACGGCTGTTATGGTACTGAGTGGGTTAACTTTACTGCAAAGTAAATTTTCGTAAGAGTTTCCAAAAATAGACCCCTGTATTACAATGATGAATGTTGGTCTCTGTGCAGGTCTATGGCTACCTGGCCTTCTGGCTCACTGACTGGGAGTGTCTGCGCACACAGACAGACTACGACAACAGCATCACCATCAAACTCTTTGCCTTGCAGTTTGTCAACTATTTCGCCTCCATCTTCTACATCGCCTTCTTCAAAGGACAGTAAGTTTTGCAAAGTTGTTGACTATTTGGGTGATGGTTTTTTTTTTTTCTTAACACTTTTTACCCTCACAGCGAGCGGAGCGCACAACTTTTGTCCCCATGTACTGGGATTCTGATGGGGTACATCAGTACTGTACCTGCATCTCGGCAAAAACACCCCAATCGTTAAGAAATTATAAACACATTGAGAAAATTGAATGTTACGATTGCATTTTTACTAAAGAGGGAATTGGAATTGAAACTGAAAATATTAAATCAAGCATATTGATCTCCTGAATGCTCATCACTGTGTAAGTGTAAAGCATCACTCGTGCCAGGTCCAATCGACTTAAAAAACATTTTTTTTCTCCAGTTGTTGGAAACAAACTGATTTTCTCCCACGAATGCCACACAAACTGTTCAGAAAGGAAATGATAACTTTAACAAGTGGGCATGTCAAAAAGGGAGATCATTCCTACAGCGTTTATGTTTCTATATCGTGTAGGTAGTCCTTTGTTGCCGAAGATGACGATAAATCCTGCAGCTCATCTGTGGACGCGCATGTGGCTGTGCAATCCGATCCTGGATGAACAATGTCTGTTGCAGTGGGGACACTGGAATGTCGTGGTTGTGGTGGATGGCTTCTGTCTCCTCTCTCTTCTGATAGTCAGCTTCTCCCTGTAGTTTGTATCGCTGTTTCTGCTGGCAATACGGACGGCCCTGCGCCAGGCGTTCCTTTCGGTGGCAGTTTTTTCAAGTTCTTTGGGGGTTACCTGTGCTAACTGGAGGTTTTCCTTTATCGTGTTACTATATCACACCGTTGCCAATTGGCGTCCATTGGGGAAAAGGGATAGCTTCTTACCATCGCCGATCGGCGTCCCGTGGGGTAAAGTGTTAAGGAAATATAATCACCTTCATATTCTCTAATTTAAAAAAAACTTTGTGTACCTCTTAGGTTTTGGAATAGCTAATTTCTCTTTCAACAGAGATGAACACCATCTTGTTCTTTCTGCAGTATTAACATCCTTACCACAAGAACAGAAAGATTAGAATTTACATCATTCCTTTTTCTTGTCTTTTAGGTTTGTTGGGCGACCAGGCAAGTACAGGACAATCTTTGGCGGCCGTCAAGAAGAGGTAATATACATGTAATGTGTTAATTCCTTGACTTAATGTATGGAGTTAAAGATGTTGTTCCAAGTCCAAATATTGACACAGAGGGTTTTCTGCATTTAAAAAAGAATTGTTTTGACTTTGACAACTTTCATTGTGTCAGAAGTAACATCATCTACAAGCGGAAACGTGATCTTTAAACTGGTAACACAAAAGGGCAAGAAAGAAGAAAAGAAATAATTCAAACTCCAGCAAACATTACCTTTCTACTTTCACTATCGAATACGCCTTCATATTTACAGATTTATTTCTTTTGGGTTAGTTGTTATAGAGCAAGTTCTGCCTCTGGATAAGGAAATACTGATCATAGTCTGATGGCACACGTTTTTTGGATATGAGTAATGAGAGTTTCTTTGAAAAGGACATAATTCTTCTGGCTAAGGATTTTTTTTAAAAGTATATATGCTGAACAAGGAGAATCGTGTGTGATTGCAGTACAGTTTTACTTCTTGGAAGTCAGATTTTAGAAAAGATTATAATTCATGGTGAACGACTGAGGATAAATGACTATCTGTTTCAGTGTGAGGCTGGTGGTTGCCTCATAGAGCTGTGCATTCAACTGGCTATCATCATGGTTGGAAAGCAACTGGTGCAGAACAACTTTATCGAGATTGTCTTGCCGTAAGTTTACAAAGATATTTTGTATTGTGACCTCCTATAAACTCCCCTTGTCTGTCTGTCTGTCTGTCTGTCTGTCTGTCTGTCTGTCTGTCTGTCTGTCTGTCCGTCTGTCCGTCCGTCCGTCCGTCCGTCCGTCCGTCCGTCCGTCCGTCCGTCCGTCTGGCTTGCTGGCTTTTTCTTCTTAGAAGCTCTGTGTCTATTGTTTCTGTATATCTTGTTTTTTTCCCCAGCACTAAATATAATGACCTTTGTCATGTTAATGTGCTTCTCTTGTGCCTTATGAAAAAAAAACCCCATCAGGTAGGTTGTCATTTAATTGAAGACTGCTACCCCCCGGGGCAGTGCCACTGACTGTAGTGTCTTTAGGCCATTCCCAAAGGGGGGACATTTCTCGTTCAAGCATAGTAGAATTGTAAATGGGCTGACTCATGTCACGCTGATAACTGTGCCTGATCTACAACAGGGAACTGCTGCTTTTTCTTTCCTGATCCTTACTATTGTCATTTTCCTCTACTTCTTTTGTAAGTTTGTCTCTCTCTTGTGACCTGCTATTTCCGGGGTGCCTTGATAGTCGAAGCAGACTTTGTGCTGTTGAAGCTAGAGAGGTGAGCAGTCTAAGTCTGATTCCCTGTAAAGACTTCTCTGTTGACACCCACCCCTTGGCGCTCATATGACCTTGTGCAGTTGCGAGCGCCGTAAAACCCTCTACTTTATAAAGAAATAAAAATTGAAGACTGCTCATCATTTTTGTCTTTTAGAGCACAATACAAAGTTTTTTTTGCGGGTGGTTGGAAGGCGCCACTGGTATGTTCTACTTTTCTACTTTCCTTCTATTGTTTCTGTCTGTCTGTTTTACTGCTACAGCAGTAAATGACCATTATAATATTGATGTGCTTCGCTTAACTCAAACAAACGAAATAATCCAAAACCTTTTATTTTCTTTACCCCTCTCAGGAAAGTCATCAAGTTTATTAAAAGGAAGCTGTCGAAAGAGACGAGGGAGCAGAAGTTGGGGCGGACCCCATGGCAGAAGGATTCCCTTCTGGACCCTGCACAGTCCATGTCACTCTTCTACGAGTACCTGGAAATGGGTTAGTCTGTCTGTCTGTCTGTCTGTCTGGGTGGTTGGCGGGTGCTCTGGTGTGGTTTGCTTCTTCTTTCCTATCAAACATCTATCGTCCTTATCTTTCCTTCTTCTTTTTTATGTTTGTTACTCTCTTGTAACACCTCTAATCTTCTAGCGCTCATATGACCTTATGCAGTTGCGAGCCCCGTAAAACCTACTAAAACTAAAACTGTCTGTCTGTCTGTCCGTCCGTCTGTCCCTCCATACGTGCGTCTGTGTCTGTCCCATCCATCCATCCATCCATCCATCCATCCATCCATCCATCCATCCACCCATCCATCCATCATTATAATTGATAATACTATGACTAATAATAATAATTATGATAATAATAAATTATATTTATGTAGGGCATTCCCACCTGGCAAGTGATCAAGGCGCTTTACAGTAATGCAAAGAACCTAGTTCCAATATTTATCTACCTTCTCTCTTTTGTCTACCTCTTAGCCTTCCTCTGCATTCCTCTCCCTTCCCCTCTTTCTTTCACTCTTTCTCTCCCTCTCTCCCTCTGTGGGTGGTTAGTGGGTGCTCTGGTGTGGTTTGCTCCTCCTCCTTCTTTAAATGTTTGTTACTCTCTTTTAATACCTCTAATCTTCGCACTTATATGACCTTATTGTGTTGCAAGTGCCGTAAAACTCTTACTAAAACTTTAATAAACTCTCCCTTTCTCTCCCTCTTTCCCTCTCTCTCTCTCTCACTCTCTCTTGCTCTCACTCTCTCTTGCTCTGGCTTTGTTTATCTGTTTTATGTGGCACGCTTGACACTCACAGTTTTCCTCAGTAGTAATTATTGCAGACTTACACCATTTGTGACTCTTTTATCAACATAAAGATTTAGCTTAGATTAAGGTAAAGAGGAGAAAATGTTGATTTGTTTTTAGTATTTTAAGCCTCAATCTTACTGACTGTATCTTAACCATTGTTTGTGGGTGGTTGACGGGTGCTCTGGTGTGGTTTGCTCGTTCTTTCCTATCAAACATCTATCGTCCTTATCTCTCCTACTTTTTTGTGTTTGTTATTCTCTTGTAACACTTTTAATCTTCGGCACTTATTTGACCTTGTTGTGTTGCAAGTGCCGTAAAACGCTCCTACACTTAACTAACAATTGTTTGTAATGTCTTTTTGATCTGCTAAAAAAAATTGGTTTTCATACTCAAAAGGGATTTTTTTCAAAACTGTCCACAGTACTCCAGTTTGGTTTCCTCACAATTTTCTGTGCTGCCTTCCCCCTGGCTCCTCTGTTTGCTCTGTTGAACAATATCATTGAGATCCGTGTGGATGCCAGCAAATTCATCACACAGCTCCGCAGGCCTGTCGGAGATAAAGCCGCAACCATAGGTAAAGGATACTGTTGTTGTTGATCATCTCATCTGGAGATAATTGGTCACTTTTAAGGACACGCAGGCTAACCCAGATTTCGGGGGTTTCCAGAAATCTTGACATATACCAAAAGTGGGCATTGCCCTACCTATAGGAGAAGTTTGGTTTCATTGGCGTTTATATTTGTTTGGTTATAGAGAAAACTGTCCTTGTCTTTTAAAGAAACTGAACTTTACCTTCGATTTTCTCAAAACAGCTTTTTTTTTTAGATATTCCCCTAGTGCTTAAAAGCGACCAATTATGTTGAGATTTAGTGCTGTGACCATGAGCTTTATCTCATACTGTCAGTCTTTTTTTAAAGTTTGGCCCACAATAACTTTTTTCTTTTTTCTGGGCAAGATTATTGATAACAGATTGATAGAATATTTAGGGAGGATGTGGAATACTTGTGTGGACATAGAAGTCCGAGGAACTTGTATTTTTTGCCCCCTGTACTTTTTCATTTGCAACACTTGTATTTTATTTATGATTTTCATTGTTTATTCAATTGAACCTATGGTTAGGCAGCGCCAGTGTTAGGTCCTATTACTCTTCTTTCTCCCTTTTGTTTCTGTCTGTCTTGCTTTTTCTTGGCACTGAATGACACTAATTGTACTATGTGCTTCTCTTTACTCAAACAAACATCTGTGTAGGGGGTTGGGTTTTTGCACCTTCTGTTGTCACTCAATTTTTAAAAACTTATTATGCTCATTGTCCTTGGCAGGTATCTGGTTCAGCGTGCTGTACGGTATCTCAAGAATTGCTATCCTCACCAACGTGAGTAACATCCCCCCCCCCCTCCCCAAAGCTTTTCTTTTATGCTTGACCAAGTTTTTATGTGCCTTTTTAAATGCTCCTCTACTTCCAATTTTATCACGAAAGCTCTTTTCCTTTTCACACAAACATCTTTGCCATTGCCCTGTGTTTCACTTTATTTATTTTCTAGTTTTTTACTTAAAAAAGAATAAAATCAAAGGCTTTCATCATTGCCCCATGCTGTCTTTACCTTATTTTCTGTTCCTTGTCTTTTGATTTTCTCAACATAAGCTTCACCAGTGCCCTGTGTTAACTTGTTTTTTAATTTTCTGCTTTGCCCACAAAGGCGTTCATCATTGCGCTGACGTCAGAGACCATCCCCCGCCTGGTGTATCAGCTACGGTACAGCGACGACGGATCCCTGGCCGGCTACGTCAACTTCACCATGGCCCACTTCAATGTCTCTGACTTTGACGACGCTCACAGACCAACGGACAGGAGTCTTGGAGATGTGGGCATGTGCAGGTACGGGGGTGGAGGGGGAGAGGGGGGGGACGGAGAGGAGAAAAATATAGTGGGTTCAGAGCTTACAAGGGGCTCAGAATGTGATCCGAACCTGGTTCCGTTAACACATTACACCCTAAGGGCCTGGACGGGAAGTCCATTGTTAGATCCTAAGCAAGGGGAAAGAACCCACCTCCCTTGAATACAAGCCTTTAAAAAACACATTTTAAAAATACTAAACAAATTCCAAAAATCCTGAAAAAATAAAAGTTAAAAAGAAAACTGAATGTAGTTTCAGAAAAATATAACTTTATGTATGCGCAAACTGTTGGAAATGTTCTCACTTTAGTTCAATCGGGGTGTCCGACCCGTCACTTTCACTCTCAGCCTCGCGGTCGGGCCCTTGGTCTAAATTCTATAATTTCTCCGTCTGATCAATCGGAATCGCCCCAAACTCTTCCTACAACGTTTTCATCAAAATCTGAGCCATCTGATTTGTCACATGCTCGTTTTTGCTCAAATCCATCGTTATTTCCGTTTTCGAACTCAATTGTGTCGCTTTTCAACAAGTCGAGGCACTTTCGAAGTGTCGGTAACGCGATCGCACTTCGATCAGCTCTAATACTAAAACTACTAGCCGGAAAAATTTCGTTTCGGTATCAAACGAAAGAAGAAACTTTTTGCTATACTATGCAAATCAAAATCCCCGCCCCAGAGTCTCGTCAAGGCGAGACTTTCGTTTCTAAAGACGCTGGGTCGGCGCGGGCGAGTCAGGGTGGAGCGCGTAAGGGAATTCCCGGGCAATCCCGGGCGAGTTAGGGTGTAATGTGTTAACTGCAGATGACTGTAGATTACCCACTGGACTGAAGTTTGTGTTCAAAGATGTTGCCCATGGTAATGGTTTGTTGTATTCTTAATTTTAGAGGTAAAGGAAGAACTAAGACATGCATTTACATGAGGGTTCCTGGGGTTTGTTGAGGATTCTATTTGATAGTTTCTTTTTTTGGGTGTTAATATTAATACATACATGGATGTGGTTTGGATGCTTTGGCTTCCTGTTTGGAAATTGCATTTTTGTATTCACTTCTGTATGAGCCACATGTGGGGACACGAGGTACAGACTTGCTGAGTGGGTGGTTGGCAGGTGCTCTGGTGTGGTTTGCTTCCTTTTTCCTGTCAAACATCTAGCATTGTTACCCTTCCTCCTTCTTTTATCTGTATTTAATTTAACTATCTAGTAACACCTCTAATCTTTGGCACTTGTATAACTGAACCCAATTGTGTTACAACTACCATAAAACTCTTATTAAAACAAAACCCAAAAAAAGAAATTACTGATACTACAATGCTGATGTATTACCACATTGTGCTGAAAGAGTGAATGAATAGGGAAATGTCACCCACATGGGTTCTTTGTGATAATATGATGGATACGTGTAAGACTCAATCATACGTCACTTCAAAATGGTGTATGGCGGAACCTTACACTAAGCAGTCGATTTGAGAATTACCAATTATATCGGGTAATTAGAGAGTGTCACAGGTAGGGTCTACTTCTTTTCTTTCCTTCTGTCATACATCTTCCCTTCAGAAAATGACAATTATTGTGTCAATGTATTGCTCTTTATTATTTACTTGAACACAAACTGTTGTATATTATCATATCATGTCTGTTGTTCAGGTACAAGGACTTCAGGAATCCCCCGTGGGAAGATAAAGACTACCGTAGATCCTCCCACTTCTGGCATATCCTGGCCGCCAGACTGGCATTTGTGTGTGTCTTTGAGGTGTGTTCTGTGGTTCTGTGCTGAGCTGTTTTCCGTTGTAGTGCATGTTGTAAGATATTGTTGTATTAAAAATGGGGCTGTGTGCAATGATTCGGGGGGGGGGGGGGGGGGGGGGGGGGTTCCTTTTTCGTACATGCGTGAGTGAGGGAATGAGTGTGAGAAAGTGTGTGTGTGTTTGTGTGTGTGTGTGAGTGAGTGGAGTGAAATAAAGCCATTATTGTGATAAGTTTCAGTAAACACTCTCATTTTATATCCTTAACATCACCGTTGGAAATTAAGGACCCTCCCCCCCCAGCTTCCCTCATAATGATTTTCTTTTTTATTAACCCTTTCACCCTCAGAGCTATCTCTGCCCAACAAGGCTGAAATTCTGGCAAAAGGGACCTAACTCCACTTAGACTGCATGACTATATTATTTTTTAAAAATCATTAAAAATCACAGGATGAGTCTAAAATTACAGTTTAGGTGTCAGAGCACAGATAAATGAATAAACTACAAGAAAATGTATGGTTTTGTACGAAAAATCATTGTGTATTAGGTAAAAAAAATTCTGAAGTGAAAAAAAACAACCCAAAAGACACAACCCGCTTATTATGCCCGCAGAAGTTCATGATTGTTTTACCCTGAACAGCCTTTTGCAAGGCCTAACCTGGCCCAAATTGCATTCTGTCACTGTCTCACTCCCTCTGCCAAGCTTTGTAAAGTTTCTGGTCTTTACACAGTAGTGGCACGACCCCTTTTTACCATGTATCCTGATCACAACATGCTCTAAAGGATTTGTTGTGACAGAGCCCACAGTCCCAGTGTTGCTCCTCCCTTTTTTACGTCGTAGTGCAGCAAGTATGTAGTACTAGATCTAGATCTAGCTAAAGTGCTGTGGGTGTTAGGCCTATCTTCTTCATCAGAGTCTTCTAAATCATCACCTCCAGAAACGATCTCACCATCAACATCACTCTCATCATAGTTGTTTCCCTCCCCCTAGAGCCTAGATCTAGACCTGTGACATCGTGTTCGCTCTCCTACTATAGTTCTCGCTCTCTCTCTCATGACTGAGTGTCCGAGTGACTACTTGTACTACTAGCACTGGATCTAGCCCCTTTGTCGACGATATCGGCACTTAAATCCCAATTATAAGTGTCTCCATCGTATACAGTGCCTGTAGCGACGCAAAATTTCATCCACGAAGTTAGATTTAGGTCTCTAAAAAGCACGAAATTGAAAAAATCGCCGCTCTCGCGTGCTTCAATCGATTTTCACTAAATAAACACGACAGTAAAGGGCATCCACTCTAGATTCTCGCTGTAAGCTTGGCAATCTCGTGCGACCTCGCAGGAAGCGAGACAATGTAGAAACGAAAGTAGTGCAAACGGGTGAATCGAGTGGGCGTGTCGGCGCACATCGGCGACTACAGGGGTTAGCGATGACGGCGCACATCGGCGCCTCTGAGTGGCAAAAGGTTAAGAAGTTAAGTAGCCTATATAAATGACTTTTCTCTTCCTATTTTGTTTCTCTCCGTCATTTTGAGTTTTTCCTCGAGCACGTTGTGTCCTTGAACTTTTATTTACTTACTCTTACATTCCCCCCCCAGAACGTGGTGGTTGTGGTGACAAGCCTCATCGCCTGGCTCATCCCTGACGTGCCCTCGGTGCTGAAGGAGCAGATCCGGCGAGAGGCGTACATCACCAATGAGATTGTGCTCAAGACAGAGCTGCGGCGGGCCCACGGTGAGGAGGTCACCGAAGACATGGTGTCCTCCCTCACCACGGAGGAAACAGAGCGCTACTCGCCTCGGCTCAGCGAGGACATGGAGGTCACTCATCGCAGGCCCGGTGCCACGGCCTCTGACCCCTCGGACCCAAGGACTTATGTGTGAGGAGGATTGTGAGACTGAGGAGACCTGCTGGAACAGATGGTAGCCGCTTGCTAGGAGCTTTTCTTTACATATTTCTTTCTGCTCCTTGTCATTTCTTTCGTCGCAAACTTAATTCACAGTTGGGGAGTTTTCCATGGGTAGTCCAATGTTCTACAGAGACCGTCTGATAAAGTCTTTCTTGAAAAATTCAAAGTAAAAGTTGTTATAGATTATTTCCACATTTAAGTGCTTGTGAATTAGGAGTCTGGCATCTTTCATTTCTGAACAAGGAAAAATTTGCTGGAAAGGTACCATATATGCTAACTCTGTTGTTAAATGTTTTGTAAATTTCTTCATCCTCTTGAGATTAAAGGTCTTACTGGACAAGGGTTCTCATCTAGTGGGCCACATGGCATCTTGATCTGGGCTGTGAACTTTCTGGGCATCGTACTTGCTCTATTTTTTTAATCTGTAGTTGAGGACCCCTGTTGTAGGTGCAGTCAATCCTGTCCATAACGGTCAATCAAGATCACAGAGAAGAGTGACCATATATATATATGGTCTCTTTGGACAGGGCCTGCATTTTGATTGTTTACCACACAAGATGAAAATGAATTACGTGTAAACCTCCGAAAGAACACTGGCTAAAGCAAGAGATTCCCTTCCAAGTTCCCACCCTCGATACAGCCGTCATTCACAAAATATATAAGAGAAAACAAATCAACACAAAATTTTAAAACCCTGAAACAGGCAGCTGAGGGCCACTATAAGACTCGCACCACACTGCCTATCATATTGTGACTGCATGACGTTTACTGTGAGGTCAGTAGCAGTGTGTTATTATTGGCTCTCACAAAAAGTATGGGCAGTGGCAGTGCTCTCAATTCATTTGACACTTACACATCATTGGGTTACTGCTGCACACCAACCCCCTATTGTTTAGTAGTGCCAAGCCAGGCGATAAGTCCAGCTGCTGCTGTGCATTGATTGAACATTCAATCTTAGTCTGAGAATGGATTGGCAAAAAAAATTTTTTTGTTGCAAGTGACCGCTATGGGCAGTTTTTGCGACCTACTTGTTCTGAAAATGTCGGACCGTGACCTCGTTGGACAGGGACCATTATTACCAGGTTAACAATATAGAAAACACACAGGGGTATTGGGGAACTGTGGCTTGTTGTACAGGTAACGGCTGTGAAGAGGTAACCACTCTGGTGGGTTGGACCGTAGTCGGGTATTGTTGTCTTTTTTTCAGCTTTTTTCAGTGAAACCATATCTTTCGTTGTTTTGGTCTATGTGACTGAAATTGTGTTACATTATGTGTAGGTTCTGTCTTTAGAAATTGTACAATTTGTTGAACAAGTCACTTGAATTGTTGTTGCTGTCAATGCAAAGGAAATTTTAATAGTCCGATCAGGAATTACATTTCTGACTTTTAGCCTGTTATTATACTCACAAAGTGCAACTTTTTATTGAATGTAAATACTTCTAGTTGAAAGATCAAATGCACCACTGTCAGTCATTCTCGTCTCGAGTTGAAAACAATGGAGTTAGTTTGGATAATATTAATTTCGCTACTGCTTTTATGGTACCTCCTGACCTTATTGGAAAAAAGGTGAGTTACTATAAAAATAATTTCTTTGTTTAAATTTTTTTCTATGACCCATGACATGGTCTTTGGCAAAGTCAACTGTTACTGTTACATGTATACTCATGAACAGGTTTTAGAAGCCTTGGCGTTTCTCCTCACTGGAGTAGAAGACAAAGACTGCTGGTCCGGGTCTACCTCTTCATAGTTCTCTGTATGTTATTCTTTGTGAACAAATCAATGTACAAGTAACTATTTAATTTATATATATATTTTAAAAGTTAGCCTTTGATCACAGAATGCAAATTTGTTCTTTTCTGAAGAGTGAAGTGAATGAATGAGTTGGAGCCATTGGTATTGTTGGGGAGTCAAAGCAATTTGTCTTTTGATGGAATGCCCATGAGTTGATATTATTATTTTCTGTTGCAATGTTTTTTTAAAAAGTTGTTTTCATATAATGAGATATGTTCAAGTGTGAGTGTACGATTTTGTTCTATGTTGTGTACTTCTTGTGGCTTTTATACTTTGCCTCTCATCGTTGCGTGGAATTTTTTTCTCCTAAAGCTGCATCCTGACTGAACTAAGGTGTTTTGATTTTGTTTCATACCTAGTACCTGTAATTGAATCAGTGGGGAGGAAAAATACTTTTGTAAGGTACGCTTGTTGGAACCATTTCCCATTTGTTTGTTCCAATTTTTTTTTTAAAATTTGGTGAAGAGTAATTACAATTTTTTGGAAAGTAGGGTGAGAGAGCTTTCATGATCCATCATATTTAAAATGCTTCTAAGTGTTAAACCATTTGTATATCACTCTATCTCTCTAGCTTAAAGTAGATTTTTACACTGCTTCCACCTAGCCTACCATGGTCACGATTTAAGACAATACGCTTTAAAAAAAATTCTTCTTTTCCTTTATTCACTTTTCCGAATCCTTTTAGGCAGCACCATTTCTTGCTACAAGTGTTTTTGTGTTTTTACTGGTCCACCTAGCATTTATTTATCTTTTTCTGAACTTGTCTAATGGGTTATCCTTGACGTCCGTATGTGAAAACGTGTTTTGGTCGAGACATAGCTCTTGTGCTGGCACATATGATTTTCATTTTGAAGATATCATCAGATATATCTTGCTTTTCGCTCTCTATCTCTTTTTTTTTTTATCTTTCACTCTTTCTCTATCCCCTCAGTCTTTCCCGGTCCCCTAGCATGTCCTCCTTTATGTGTGTTGACTGCTTGTATAAGTGTAGGTTACTGTTTCTTCTAATCTTTGTGCTATAAATGTTTGAAAGTATTAAAGGTTAACATAAACATGTACTCTATCGGGGATAATTAAAATTACAATCAGTCTTTAAAACAAAAACAAGATATATGTTGATATATCCTTCAAGGTTTTCAAATGCTTTGTAGAATACACAAGCGACCATGTATTTTTGTATGATTTTACTGCTTGAAAAGACAAATCAAGTTTTCTTTCTTTTTCTTTCCTTGAAAAATAGACCTGTGTCTATATTTTATGTTTCTGATTGACACTGCTGGGGTAGACTTTCCTTCTTTACAGTGGGAAGAGGAAAGGGAACAGAGCTCATTTCTTACAAAGAATTGTTTTCTCTTCGATGCCAAATGAATTATTATTAATGGATCCTCACTACCTTCTTTCAGCATGAAAACTTTCTTTTATTAGCTAACTTTTAACATGGCAGGATCCATTGTCAATATCAGCACCTATTTTTATTATTATAGTTTTTTAACAGTGTTACTTGGTAACATATCATAGAACTCAGTCTTTGTAACATACAAAAAATCAGTGTCGCTGAAAATGTGGCATGTTGGTGCATGATTCTTAATAGCTTGGTAAGTGTTGCTACTAAGTTTTCAAGCTGGTCTGCCCTTCTTCACAGGGCACACTAATTCATGTCCATTACTTTTCTGTTTCATTATGTGTCACAACACTTTACACAGCTTAAAAAATGCTCATATTATTGAGTTGTGAGAATGAACCCGTAGAATAATTGCCCGGTTGTTTTCCTTCAGTCATTTAGGCTATTTGGAAAATAAATTATAAACTTTACTAGAGGTGCAAATGTTGTCCAAGAATGTCTAATGTTTTGTAATATACTTATAACTTATAAACACATTTACTCTTACATTGAGTTACTGACCTTGATAAATTTAAACTCAAAGAAAGTCCAGACTGATTTGACATATTTTGTTTTACATTCTTGCGGTGCATTTTTACATTTTTTTATTTTTTAAAAACAGTTTTCTATGTCATAATGCAGGTGTAACTGATTACTGTATGAATGAAATGTGAATGCTGATTATTGCTTGTGACTGTTGTTCTTATCTAGGGCAAAATGTAGCAAGTTGCAAAATTTGGACTCGCAAGAATTGCCGTCTGCGCTCAAGAGCTGTTGCTTATTGTATTGTTCCTCAGTTTCCTGATTTTTTAAACTGTTTTTACCTAGTGTACCTTTTTTCTGCTTTCTTCATTCCTGTGTGATTGAGTTGTATGTGATATTGCAATGCAATGGCAATGCTTCATGACTTTATGGTGCGAGACCCTTTTCTCTATTGCAAGTTCACGAAAACTTAAAAAATATAAACTTGCTACATAATGAAATGATATCATATAGCCAGACTGGAAAATAAAAATCTATGGGTCTCACAGTTTTTGTATACCGTATATAATATCTAAAAAGGGAAATGAGACGTATTTGGAAGAGTTGAAGGTTTGTTCTGGGGATTGTGTAAAAATGGAAGGATTTAAATTATTACAAGTAATTGAGGAGTGTCCTAGCTTTGAGCCTTGCAGAGCTGTGTTGTTAGTTGCTGTATAGTTTTACCTACAGTGGTAAACGCTATGACTGTGTGCCTTCATTGAATTCAAGAATTTTAATTGTTGAAGCTTTTATTGCTAAATTCCTCGGGGGAATTCTAGGAATGATTGAAGTGGATAGTTTGTAAATTGTATACAATCATCCCTCTCCCCGCCTACAAGTGGAACAGTTATTAGCATTAGAACTGCACGTCCATGAGATGTATATTATGTATCTAGTTTCTTAGATCTTGTGATGTGGCTGTGTGTGCTTCAGCCATTTACTACTTGTGAGTGTTAAAGCATAATGCAAAGCTCTTTACACTGTTCATAGTGTGACGCCTTGCCTTTACTTTTGCCTTGTTTTTAAGAGGCTACTGCTGGCTTGAGGTTGTTCTAGTTTTAGAAAACAATGTTTTAGCTCTTGTGAGATTCTTGTTTTTGTTGACATTCTTTTCACATTGTAGTTGTTGTAGGCTTGATTCATTACTTAAATCAAAGTAAAACTGGATACTTGGTGTACCTACACGTTATATTGTTACGTTCATGGAAGATGCAGTCTTTGTTGAATTTAGTGCATTGCTCCTTCCCAGCTTGGATAAAATGCCAGTCTTTTATCAAATGTGCCACGACCTAGTGGAATCTGGCGCTCGTCAATTTTTGGGCGTATTGAGTTATTGGTATCATCTGAAAGCTTAAATTAATTTCCTTGCTTTCAATGAATAAAATATCAAACTAATATTTGCCGTTGACGAAGGTGATGTCACCTGGTTTCAGTGGTTAAATTAATGAGAAAATGGCCGCCAAATTTTGGTAACTTCAATTGCTTAAGAATCCTTGAAAACTGAAAATTACCTACTTTGTGCCTTTAATCAAGGTTTTTCAGTAAAATTCACATGGAAATGTTTTCATATATGAACATAAAAGGTGTTTATCCAAAAAACAAAATTTCCATAAAAATTGCCAAACAGATTTTCTTTGATTTCATTATTCTGACGGGCGCCTGATTTCACCACGATGCCTCACAAATACATGTAGTCATTAATCTCTTGCCTCACCTACCATATATGTGTATAATAACTGTTACTATTTATCTGTGCAGTCTTTTGATTATCATTTTACATTATACCTTCTTATCCATGCTCATGTTTTTGTTATTTTCGTATCTTACTCTACACAGATATATTATTGTGCTATATATATTGTCCAATGTGTTGTAAAATTATTTTCTTACTATGCTTATATGGGAATGGAGGTCTGTTTGTTATGATATTACCTGCACTGCCTGTATTCTACGACTAATACTAATCAGTTAAAGTAAGGGGCTATGAAATCGAATAATGAACGTAGCAGATCAAGCATTTGAAATAATTTGTTTTTAAGCCAAAATGTAGCAGTAATGCGTAAAAGATCTAAATTATAATCAGTGAAAGGGCATGAAACTATTGAAAGAGAAAATGACATGCAAATGATGAATGTCTTTCAACCATAGCTGCAGTAATTGTAATAGTAATACTAATACATTAATATGATTAACAGTTGTTTTTTATCCTGAGACCTCCGATTGGGCTCCTTGTAACTTGTAAGTGCAACATATTTTAATAAATTGCAATGACTCTTAGTCTTTGCTTGCATCCATGCTACTTATGTGTATAAAAATGAATAAATTTCATTGTTGATATGAAAATGAAATGATGTGACTGTTTAAGTTTAAGTTAAATATAATAATACAAGACTAACTTTTTAAATATAAGATGGCTGTCGGTAAATCTAATACTTGTAATGACAAAATATGTTGAATGTTCACTGTTCAGTACAATATTAATTCAGACTTCATAGCAGTATCATAGTATCAATATGAACTTCAGTCCTGTTCTCTTATTTTGAGATTGCATAATACCAAGCACCTATGATTTAAAGCGAAACTGAAAACCCGAAATTAATGCTTAACGATTTTCTCAAAACTTTGTGCTATGTTTAATTCAGAGTTGGAAATTTGAAGTCGACTCAATAAAGGTGAGAAGTAACATCACTCTGATTGAAGCAATTTCAAAAGTCTCTCGTTACACAAATATCTGGAAAACTATTCACTCGTCGGTGAAACTAAGCAGCTGAGACATGCCCAACTGAAGGCAAGCAGGGGTCACTAACGACAGTGCCCATTTTAATTGAGCCCTTACAGAGTTAGTAGCTACGGGCTATATCATCTCTATGCATCACTTTTGCGCTGAACATAAGTATGGATACGGATAGAATCTCACCCATTGTCATTGTGCATTATGTAGCTCTGCTTTTTTCTCCCTAGAGGCACATTTTGCATGTGCTGATAATTAAAATTATATGGAGATGGTTCCCTGAAAACTGATGAAATGTGACAAAAGTTGAGCCCTCAAGAGAATCTTTGTTTTTTTTGTTGTTTTGGCAAGTTTTACAGTGTTCACAACTGCCTAAGGTCATATGACTCATATTATGAGCAGCGGAACACATTACACATTTTCAGCCTGATAGAAATTAAATTAAAATTTTGCCCAGGTGACGGCTGAAGCCAACTCCTTCTATTGGTTTTGGACCATCAAGGGGTCTATAACGTGCCCCACTTGCACATAGGACCTCCGAGATTTTTGCCCTTATCCGAGAAGACTAGGTGTTAGACCTACCCTAAGATCAGGGGTGTGGCTGAAAGACAGCAATAAGAAGGAGTCAAGGGGTAGCAGTAGAAAGGCTGCAGAAAGAGTCAGGAGCCCAGAGAAGGGGGCAAAAATTGGCGACGAAAGCAGAGGACAGAACGGGATTAGAGAGCAGTAAAGTAGGTGAAAGGAGAAAATTTTAGAGAAGAAAATATTCCATTACTGTCAAGTTTTGAACCAGAGACCTATTGAATGAGAGGCGAATACTGTAACTCTAGACAACGAGAGCCCCTCTCGTAAATCGCCCAATTCCCCCACGCGAGGAGGGGTAGGATGAATGCAACTTGGTACGCTGCTCTCACGTATTCATACATTGTTCCAAATTTCAGGTACTGGTGGTACTTTCATCTTCATCAGGTTTAATTCAAGTTTAGTCACTTTTTATTAAAATTGAGCATGAATTTGCTTAACAGACTGAAGAGTCAACTTTGCATTATAATATAATGAGACAGGTCCTCTCTAAATTCCATAGGATCAAAACAGATGCAATAAATAATATATGATTTTTAGTAGGCCTGCAAGATCTTTGTTTCATGTAAATGTTACGTTTCTGGTTTATATATTTCTGGGTAAGGGCAACTTTATTTTCAGCTCATTGTGTTTTTCTAAGCACATGTAGTGTAGTAATGGTAGTAGTAATAAGAATGTAGGCCTGCATGGAACATTTCAAACTGATTTTTTTTTTTTTTTTCGGTGGTAGGGCAGGGAAAGGGCCTCAAGACTGTCCAAAATAAGTGGACTGGACCTTTGTATTACTAATTAGTTGTATAAATATTCAGTTTTATTTAAAACTCACTGCTTGCCTAGCTTCTAGTCACATGCTCTTGTGGTGTTGAAGGTTTGTCTCCCATTCCCATCTGCTGTAATTAATTGTGCCCACCTTGGTTCATCCATTTCGAGGTTTCATTGTTTTTTAAATACTTTTTAAGCGAAAAGCGTGCATGCATTATATAATTAAATACACTGTACATGTATAGTAATTAGTATATATACCCGTACACATTTAGGCCTGTTTATAGATCTGTACAACAATGTATATAATTTCCCCTAGAGGCTGCAAAGTCTTACTTTCCTTTAGTACTTGGAATGGATATTTTGGTAAGCAGGTGCTAATGCTTACTCTATTTTCGTTTGCATCATCAATCATCAACAGAGAAATAGCTGTCTTGTTGAGTTGTATTTTTCTATGACAACTTTCCAAATCCTGTCTTGTGAGGTGAGGTTAGTGCTCTTTTCTGTGAAGTTTGAAAATGGGCCTTTTGAAATGAAAACCAGTTAAAAGTTAATAAACGTACAGCTGTTACCTCCTCTGCTCACCAAAGGCTGGCCTAGGGCTGTGGTGATGTTTTCCAAGAGTCGACCCAAATGATCTCTGTGCTCGGGCCCTCTAGGACTCTAGGCTCAGACTCAGAGTCAAAGGGTCAAGTTAGGTGGAGGGAAACAGGGACTGAATTGAAATTTTTTGGGGTTTTTTACATTTTATTTTTGAAAATCTTGTACAAGGATTCTATTCTGATTTTTAAAAAGAAATTTCCGTCAACATTTTCTGCTGGGTTTTTTGGGGCACTGTACCTGCATTCTTTACATTTTTTACTAAACTATGTGATAAAGTTGGAGCCTTTCTCTCAAAATGGTTGATGTTTTAGACCATTTTGATGACACATCATGGCCAAAATTTTTTCCTCTTTAGTAAATTGTATTTTAAAGTGCAGTGCATTGTCTCCATGCATGATATGACAATTCGGGGTGAAAACTTTTATAAGTGGAACTGTTTCATTCTATTCTTATTTATACAGAGTTCTTATTCAGGAACTTTAAAACTGAAAGCCATGTCACTTCTTGAAACCAAATTCATCAATTTTTCAAACAAAAAGATGAAATCCAAAGTGCCATTACATGTAGTACAAATGTAGGCCTACATGGCACTCAGTTGGAATTGAAATTCAACTGGCTCCGGTGACCAAATTGGATACTCTTTTATTTATTATAAAAATAGTCATTGAAAAATATCACCATCCTCCTGAGCATGCACCCTCTGTCTCAGGACTTCTTGAATTTAAAGAATAATGAGCTATGTTAATGCTTTGATGTACTCACAAGTTACTCATTCGAAGGGGATAAGTCTTAACCCTCGCTGGTTTCTG